GCACATGATTTGACATTAGTACACTTTCAAAAATTTTATTTCCAAAAACATAATCGTCATACAATATTTCCACTTACATAGAGAGATCAAAAATTTCGCTAAGCTCATAATCATCTCCCTCCATGTAAGCTAAGATATGATACCCAATTAATTTTGAATAAAATTATTTAAGAGGCAAAAACATCTCTTAATTCCACAACATTAAATCACGCATAATATATATGAGTCCAAAAATATGCCATACAATTTTGCAGACTCCACTTGAAGCCTTGTTGGTAATATGATGCAGTATGTTAAGGCAACCTTTGAATATATTGGTGACAGTGAAACAGATCCCTTACATGACTATGAAAAAATACATCAAAAAAGAATAAATAATTACAACCCAAAAGAATCATAATACAATTATTCTAATAAAAATGTAAATAATTTGGGAATGCCACTTCACCAATACATTTGTGGGGTCTACCTCTAACAATACAAAATAAATAAACAAACATGTGCACCAAAAACTACCAACATCACCTTCGTCCATCCATACATACATACAATACTTACATACATCCATATATACATCTACATGAGCCTTGAGAATCATGATCACGCATTGCTGCTGCAGGTTCACACATGTGACAGGTCCATGTGCTTCCACATGCGCCACATGGCACGCACACCTTGCGTGTTGCTGGCATCAGCCGCACGCAGTGCACTGACATTAGCCGTGCCACAAACTAAACTGTGCCAATTGAGAAGTTACTAGAGAGTTTCTCAATATTATATACGGTCGTGCTGGAGAGCTCGAATTTGAGATCCCTGAATCCCCCTAATTCCAAAACGTTGCCGTTTTTTATTTTTATTTTTTTCCCTCTATGCAGAAGAAGGAAGATCAGAAGGGAAGAAGAAGAAGAAGAGAGGGAAGAAGGAGAGAGGGAAGAAGAAGGGACTGGAGGGGGCTAATAAATTGGGCTGGAGGCGGAGGTGGAGGTGTGGACGGAGGAGGCAAAGGCGGAGACGAACGACGATTGGCCTACGACGACGATCGGGCAGAGGCGGAAGCGACAAGCTGCGACGACGGTGGGCGGAGCTGCGACGACGGCCCTCTTCTTCCCTCTTCTTCTCTCTTTCTCTCTTTCTCTCCCTCTTCCTCTCCCTGAAGATAACTCACTCCCATTATCTTTGGTGATTTCTAGATAAGTCTCTAATTCTTCACCTTTGCTAAAAGATTGTGTGACTTTCTCAGACTCCTGCCACTCAAATAGCACAAGATCCTTCTTTACTTCACCAATACTAGAAAATTCACTCTCAATAAAATTGACATCTCGCGACTCATTTTCAATCATTCCACTGTAAGGATGTTCACTATACTTTACATAACCTTTTAGCATTTTGAGTATCTAACAAACACTTGTTTATTTGCTCTAGGGCCTAACTTTCCATGCTTATGAGAAGTACTGTGAACAAAACCCGCGTAACTCTAAGGCTGCAAATGCTCCAAATCAAGTTTGCGTATTTTCATAATTCATATGGAGTCGTTGGAACTGACTTTGAAGGCACACAATTAAGGATGTAGGCAGTAGTCATAAGAGCATCCCCCCCAAAAGACATAGGGAGGTTGACTTGCGTTATTAATAACTGATAAAATATTACTTTAGAAACCAAGTGTATAAAGCACATCATGGAGGAGTAAAGTGCGCCCCGGACGCGTCTTGAGTTAACAAGAACCAACTCCAAGGACATCCTCTCAAGTTCCATTACCCAAAGTAACGTACAGCTTCCCCACATGTATCTTTTTGTAATCTGCGAACTCAACTCTTAATTTGACTATGTGGCGGGTTGCTTATGAGTCTACAATCTAACCATGGAGAGAATTAGCAACACATACATATAAACAAACACAAGTATTTAAAGAGTAAAGTAAAAGGTCTATATTCTTTGTATCCCACAGTTATATGACTTGACTTTGGTCTTGTTTTTATTTCCAACGCGCTTGCCTCGACAGCGCTTCCCCATATTACCTTTCTTAGGACCAAGGTTACCAGTTGCACTACCACGTTTTCCTTGTTCGTTGCGCTTAGGCCTAAATGCTTGATGCTGCCCTGCTTGGGTGACAAGGACAGTGTTGCGATATGACCCCATGTACTCCACTTCAAGCCCAAGTTGCTCAAATTTCAAAATAAGAGCATTCAACTTAGTTGCAAGTATGGTCCCGTAGGTAATATATTTAGTTGATTCCATGTCATGAGGAATGGGGTTTGTCTCAAACTCCCCCGTGAGCTCATTGTGCATGCTAATAAGCATAGTATAGCCCTCGCATCAATCTCTCTTGACCCAATTCTGATGGGTCTCTGTGTCACGACAATATTGGGCAGCGGTCCTCTCTTCAGATTGGATCTAAAGGGTGGTCAATTTTTCTATGACTTCCTATTCATTAAGAAATTATTGGATTTCATCCCTTGGTGAGGTCAATAACAGCATTCTTAGAGGCCGTTTCACTACATTTATTGCACATGATTTGACATTAGTACACTTTTAAAAATTTTATTTTCAAAAACATAATCATCATACAATATTTCCACTTACATAGAGAGATCGAAAATTTCGCTAAGCTCATACTCATCTCCCTCCATGTAAGCTAAGATATGATACCCAATTAATTTTGAATAAAATTATTTAAGAGGTAAAAACATCTCTTAATTCCACAACATTAAATCATGCATAATATATATGAGTCCAAAAATATGCCATACAATTTTGCGGACTCCACTTGAAGCCTTGTTGGTAATATGATGCAGTATGTTAAGGCAACCTTTGAATATATTGGTGACAGTGAAACAGATCCGTTACATGACTATGAAAAAATACATCAAAAAAGAATAAATAATTACAACCTAAAAGAATCATAATACAATTATTCTAATAAAAATGTAAATAATTTGGGGATGCCACTTCACCAATACATTTGTGGGGTCTATCTCTAGCAATACAAAATAAATAAATAAACAAACATGTGCACCAAAAACTACCAACATCACCTCCGTCCATCCATACATACATACAATACATACATACATCTACATGCGCCTCGAGAATCATGATCACGCATTGCTGCTGCAGGTTCACACATGTGACAGGCCCATGTGCTTCCACATGCGCCACATGGCACGCGCACCTTGCGTGCTGCTGGCATCAGCCGCACGCAGTGCACTGACATCAGTCGTGCCGTAAACTAAACTACGCCAATTGAGAAGTTACTAGAGAGTTTCTCAATATTATATATACACTCCAAATTCCTAGGTTCAATGATGGTGACCTGGGAGGGAACAACATAGAGAAATATTTTTTTGTAGAGATTTTTTTGGGTAAAATCACACACCAATAATATGTATTATTATTTTGTCTACATTAGATATAGAGAATCTCTGTTGATAGATGTGGAGTTATAGTCTCCTACAACAACTCAAACACCTCTTTAGATAATTCTCTTAATTATTTTATATTATAAATCGTGTGAATTATCTACAATCCATGTGGACGCTCCATATGTTATGGGTCGGGTCAAATTCAATCCACTTTCCAACATATATTATCTAAAACATGGTATTTTATATTGAGACAAAATCAAAACTTCTAATTTGGATATAGTGTGAACTGAGCCAATTATGACATGGCGTGTACTGAGATAACTAATGATGTGCAAGTAAAATTTCCCTGAAAGTTATCGCCAGGCAAAGCTAAATATTTAAGGAAATTCTAATAGCATTGTGGTTATTTTTAAAAATCAAAATTATATGAGAAAATATAGTGAATTGTATGGTTTATATAAGAATAGATATATGCAAATGAAATGACATGCACCAATAATACTACATACACATAAATATAAAACAAAAAATTAATGTATAAGAGTATCTCCAACCATTAATTAATTAATTAAATTTGATTTTAAATTTGAGTAAAAAGTTTGATTTGATATAAATTATTTCAAATTTTTTTGTCAAATTTTCATCAAAATATTTTTAAAAATTCTTTTTTTATCCTAAAATTTTCTTTTCATCAAATTTGCTGGAAAAAAAGAAAAAAAAATCTCTAATGTTTCATCTTTTTAAATTTGATAAAAGATTTGATGAGTTATCAATCGTATGAAAATAATGACTCTCTTTTGATTTGATGAACATTTGATAAAATTATTAAAAATAATTTTTGATTACTTTTTTTTTTATTAAATTTAAATTTAAATTAAATAAAAGAAAAAATAAAAATGTAGAGGTGCACTAATTCACCTACATTTGAATGTATCATCCATCAAAATGAACAGATTACACACCACTTACACCATCTCTAAAGAAGTGAGTATTGTGTAATTTGTCCAACGTTTCCTTATTATAATAATTCGGTGAACTTCGTTTTCGTATGATTCATTAATAAATAAATAAACAAAATGCATTGTCCCATCTAAAAATTAAAAATTAAAAATTAAAAAACGCATAGTAATTTAATGGCAGTGGCTTTGGTCCAATTTAAGATCGGATTGGACCGTGTTGTTGGGTCCGTGTAGGTCCACCACGGGTCTCTTTTTGATAATCTGAACCGTTCAATGTGTAGAACCCGTCGAGTACTATATGTCTGTAAAAAATCACATTGATCGGATATCGATAGCTATGTGAACAAAACAGTTTTTTATCAACCGCTAATTGTTTCACCGTCCATTTTTTTTTATACAAAATTGATTTGATCATATAGCTATTGATATCCGATCAATGCAATTTTTTACAGGCATGCAATATTCGACAAGTTCTATACATTAAACGGTTCAAATTATCAAAACGGATCCAAAAAATAAACTCCATAGACCGAACTGAACGGATCAAGTCTTGATCTTAACTTGAGACAAGCTAGACACTAATTTAATAATGTTCTAATATTTAACATTGTAATAGCATGCTGAATGACTATCCAGGGCACGTGACTGATCAGGTGAGGTTGAACATACCCAATACTAGAGAGACGCGTTTAACTTGTTCCCGCCGAATTACTGTTGTGAATAATTATTATGTCTTCTACCTCTAACTACTACTGTTCGTTACTTAAACTCTGCTGCGAAGCCCATAACCAAATCCAAGCAAAGAAGCTTCATTGCCTCATTCTCAAGACTGTTACACATCCAGAGACTTTTCTATGGAACAATCTCATCAACACATATGCTAAATTACGCAATTTAACCTATGCACGACATGTGTTCGATCAAATTCCTCAACCAAACCTCTTCTCATGGAACACCGTCCTCTCGGCTTACGTGAAGTTCGGCCAAATTCCTGCAATGCAAGAGATCTTCATTCGAATGCCATGCCGAGATGGGGTTTCTTGGAACTTGATTATTTCGGGTTATGCTTGTCACAGGTCATGTTATGAGTCAGTGGAGCTATATAGATTGATGTTGAGAGATGGATCCATTAATTTGACTCGAATTACGTTCTCGACAATGCTTGTCTTGTCGTCAAATCGGGGTTGTATTGATTTGGGTAGGCAAATTCATGGTCAGATTGTGAAATTTGGTTTTGAGTCTTATGTTTTTGTGCGTAGTCCCTTGGTTGATATGTACTCGAAAGCAGGGTTGATTTTTTATGCGAAGCGGGTTTTTGATGAATTGCCAGAGAGGAATTTGGTAATGCATAATACTATGATTATGGGTTTTTTGAGGTGCGGGATGGTTGAAGACTCGAAGCATTTATTTTGTTGTATGCATGAAAAAGATTCAATTTCGTGGACAACAATGATTACAGGACTTACACAGAATGGAATGGAGAGAGAAGCAGTTGATATGTTTAGGAAAATGAGAACTGAAGGCTTGGCTATTGATCAGTTTACTTTCGGAAGCATCTTGACAGCTTGTGGGGTTCTTTTGGCCTCAAAAGAAGGCAAGCAAATCCATGCATATGTAATCAGGACCGATTATATGCATAATGTGTTTGTTGGTAGTGCCCTTGTTGACATGTATTCTAAGTGCAGAAGTATAAAATATGCAGAAACAGTTTTTAAGAGGATGACCTGCAAAAATATTGTGTCTTGGACAGCAATGGTGGTGGGCTATGGCCAGAATGGGTACAGTGAAGAAGCTGTTCGGATCTTTTGCGAAATGCAAAGAAATGGGATTGACCCAGATGAGTTTACTCTAGGAAGTGTCATTAGCTCATGTGCAAATCTTGCAAGTTTAGAAGAGGGTGCCCAATTTCATGGTCGAGCACTAGTTTCTGGCTTGATTTCCTTTGTTACAGTTTCTAATGCACTTATTACACTGTATGGTAAATGTGGAAGCATAGAAGAGTCCCATCACCTGTTCAATGAGATGAACTTTAGGGATGAAATCTCTTGGACTGCACTGGTTTCTGGGTATGCCCAGTTTGGAAAAGCCAATGAAACAATTGATTTATTTGAAAAAATGCTGGCCAATGGTCTACAACCTGATGGAGTAACTTTCATTGGGGTTCTTTTAGCTTGCAGTAGGGCAGGACTAGTTGAGAAAGGATGCAAGTATTTTGATCTAATGGTAGAACAACATGGCATCATTGCAATACAAGATCACTACACTTGCATGATTGATCTTTTCAGCAGAGCCGGGAGGTTAGAAGAAGCAAAAAATTTTGTATTTAAGATGCCTTGTAAACCTGATGCGATTGGTTGGGCTACCTTGCTGAGTTCATGTAGAGTTCATGGTAACATGGAAATTGGGAAATGGGCAGCAGAATCTCTACTAGAACTAGAACCACAAAACCCAGCTAGCTATGTCTTGCTCTCGAGCATGCATGCTGCTAAAGGGAAATGGGATGAGGTGGCTCAGTTAAGAAGACGACTAAGAGATACGGGCATAAGAAAGGAACCGGGATGCAGTTGGATTAAATACAAGAGCAGAGTACACATTTTCTCTGCTGATGACAGGTCAAGTCCGTATTCAGATCAGATCTACGCTAAGTTAGAGAAGTTGTACTGTAAAATGATAGAGGAGGGTTATGTGCCTGATATGAGTTCTGTTCTCCATGATGTTGAGATGTCAGAGAAGATAAGAATGCTTAACCACCACAGTGAGAAGCTTGCTATTGCCTTTGGGTTGATTTTTATTCCTTGTGGATTGCCCATACGAGTGGTCAAAAACCTCAGAGTATGTGGGGACTGCCACAATGCAACTAAATTCATTTCGAAGATCACCCAGAGAGAGATTCTTGTAAGAGATTCTGTTCGGTACCATTTGTTTAAAGATGGAACATGTTCATGTGGTGATTTCTGGTGATGGTTTTGTCTGTTGTTTAAAGCTGTTGCGGATGGCACTGAGACAAATCTTTGAATCACTCAAGTGGCACCATGAAATAGACATAGCCTTTTCACTTGAGAAAGTGGATCCATTTTCTATGGCAGCTGTAAGGGGCTAGTGTTTTTGCAACACTACTTCCTAGGAACATTACTATGACAATAAAACCTGATTTATATGGTTTGTCCAAACAAGACCTGCATGTCAAAGGAGCTGCTATGAGAAATTCTATCCATTAGAAAGCTTTCTGAACTGCTTATCAGGTAACCTGAGGGGTGGGCATGTATGCTTGAAAAATGAAGAAGATAATTGATGATGGATTATTATGTGACAAGGTAAGAGTCTAATTCCTGTAAACTATTACACCTATTTGTGTTAGATTTGTTACAGTGCTGTCGCTTGAAGCTTGGACAAACACTCAAATTTCATTGATCAAGACATTGAGTGTTTGGAGGACCTGATTCTCTTGGTTGGGTTAGGGTATATAAGTATCAACAGAATCATAAGGATACGAAACATATGACATTAGAGGGAGTTCTGTAAATTAAAACACCATTCATTATTTCCCTGTAGTTAAATGATTGAATGAGCAAATTTTGTGAACTTCATACACTAGGGTATCAATTGAAAAGGTGGGTTATTACTTTCTCAGTATATTCTGACTTTTTAACTAGATCAATTGGAGGGGTGGAAAAGAGCTGGGAGTAGATATACTTTGGTGCAATCGGTTTTGGGTAACATTCCTATTTACTATCTGTCTTTGTTCAAAATTCTGGTTAGAATTGCAAAGAAATTGAAAAGATGATGAGCAATTTCTTTTGGGATGGAAAGGGTGAGGGTAATAAGGGACATTTAGTGATTGGGGGGTAGGTTCTTTTCCCAAGGAGAAGGTCTCCTTATTGGAAACATTGTGACTAGGAGTATTGCACTTTTTGGAAAATGGATATGGGGATTTTTCATTGAGAAAAATTCATTATGGCATGCCATAGTTAAGAGTAAGTATGGGGTTCAAGCTAATGGGAGAGACTCTAATGTGGTTAGCGGGGGCAATAATCGATCTTGTTAGAAATCTATTTCTCACATCCTTTTGCATATGTCTAGATTTCTTTCGTTGAAGGTGGGTAATGGTGAGAGTGTTTGGTTTTGGAAGGATGTCTGGGTGGGTGATTCTTCTTTTGATGTGTCATTTCCGCATTTATACAAGGTGGCTCGATCTCATTTTGCTTCCGTTGCTTCTTTGGCATTGTCTTGTGTGGCACCAATCTCTTGGGATTTAAATTTCTCTAGGAGTCTTAATGATAGGGAAAATCTGGAGTGGGTGTCTTTGTTGTCTTTACTAGAGGGGGTCTCTTTGTCTACAAATAAGGATGATAAGTGGGTTTGGTTCATTCATTTTTCATGCGTTTTTTCAAGTAAATCTTTCTTTGACAAAATCATTGATATTTGTTTCCATTTCATGAAAGAATTTGGAAAGCTTTTGTGCATCATAAAGTGAACATCTTTATATGGACCTTGGTTCATGGAAGCATTCTGACTAACGATGTTTATCAAGCACGGAGGCCTAATCTCTATCTTAGTCCTCAATATTGCATTTTGTGTAGGAGGAATGGGGAATCCTTGAATCATCTTTTCTTACATTGCTCAATAGCTCTGAATCTTTGGTAATGTTTGTTCTCAATTGACCGGCATACATTGGGTGACCCTGGTGGAGTGCACTCAAATGCTTGTAAATTGTAATTGAATTTTGAGGATTTGGATTCATGAAGAGAGAAGTGTTGTGGAGATATGTTTGCTTTTGCAACTTTTTTGGGAAATATGGTTGGAAAGGAATGCAAGGATTTTTGAGGACTTCGGCAAAAAAGTGTCATTGCGTCATTTTGGGCTTATATCACCCCTTCATTCACAGGGGTTCCACTTTTCTTTTCTTTTTTATATTTATTTTCTAGAGATTGGAAAGTGGTTTGCAATGTATAAATGTTTTTTTAGTTTTGTTTCTTTTGGCATGTTGTGGTTGTCTTCACTAAAGAGGACTTCTTGTCCTCTTTTTGTTCCCTTCTACCTTTGATTAATAAAATCTATGTTTGTTGGTCATTAAAAAAAAAAAAAATGGATACACAATATTCATTGGAGACCATAAATTTTAAATAACCAAACCAAACTAAGCCTTTGTCCCAATTAAGTGGGGTCAGCTACATGACCTTTTTCGCTATTGGAGACTAGAAATTTTAAATATATTCCACAAATTACATAATGAACAAATACATATTTTTGTAAATACAACAACAGAATTAAATAATAAGTGCTCTACATATAATAGAATTACAAGGAACATAAATTATATGAAGATTTCAAGGCTATACAATATGTAGAAGAAAAAAATGTCCATATTTATTCATTCCCTTGTGTTGTTTTGGAAGACTCCCACTGACTTTGCTGTTGGTTCTGCATAAGGGTTAAGAAAGGCTTATTAAAATAGAACTTTCACGGGAGAGAAGCTGGACAGTTCTGGGTTAGAGAAATCTACAAGCATTCAATCACTTCAGGAAGAGGTGCCCAGACTCCAAAATTTCTCTCTATAAATTGATAGGCAATTCCACTCCTTCCTCTGCTGACTATAAAGAGTCCGCCTTTTATTTCACCTTCACCCTTGAAATTCTGCTCCATTCCAGTTGCTTTTGCACGCTTGTAATTTGCAATAGCTCGAGGGTTGAACAAAAAACCCGACATGAACTTGTCCTTGAGAAGCTTCCCTCCACCAAGAGCTTTGAAAAATTCCATGTCTTTGTTGTAGATCATGGAACCACCCAAATATCGAGGCCAAAAGTCTTTTACCTGTAGCAGCATCAAGGTCAGATGTCTTCATGTTTGTTTGTTATTCATAAAAAACCATGATATGATTGAAAGAGGAACAAATTGAAGAAAGTTAGTAAGATACTTCAGCCTCTATGTGTTCATGGATAACTGCAAATAATTGAACCCCAAGTGCATCAAATATGGGTTTTTTTGAATAGAGTTGGTGGGCCTCTGCTCTGCACATGATGCACCTATTTTCCATTTACAATTTTACAAATACATAACACAATTAAAAATTATACAGATTCAGTTCTCCTAGAAAGAAGGAAAAAAAGAAGAAGAAAAAAACTACGTCAGTGGGATGTTAGGCATCTCTTTTAAGAGCACCATTTCTCTCTAAAATGCAAGCTGAGACAGTTCTTCATTGTCTGAACATTTCAGTTTCACTTGTTTGATTTACAAAACTGAAAGAATAAAATTCTGCCAAACTTATTTCCATAAAAGGTGATTCCAAAGAAACTACACCTTATGTAAGTTTCAAATACTCCAATATTGAAAATGTTCAATTTGTTTATTTGTTTTTATTGCTAGCCATTAAAGAGTTCCGTTATTGTGATTTCTGAAATTGCAAGAGCTTTATTTTGGATTTTCTAAAGATTGACATCTAGCGATGTGTCTGTTTTAATAATCTCACATGAACATGGAGGTCCAAGGATGAAATGCAAGACCTTCAATTTCATAAAAGTCCATCTAATGAGATAATGCTGTGCCAATATGCAGAACATATAGAAAAGTTACCCTGGACGCCTGATACAGACGAGTACAGCTGGTTTATCATGCCATAGTTCCGAAGCCTTCATCGGGGGTGTCTTTGTTTTCACCAAACATTCCATCCCAATCTTATATTCCGGAGTTAGTTTCTGCATTGAGATGTTTTCAATAGCAGAATATGGAGCAACATTGTCAACTATTGGGGGAGGCTGTACACAACCACATGCTCTGGGCTCGGCAGGAGCAGCAGCCACAATCCCCTTAAAGATATGTCCATCTTTGATCTTCAAATCAACCATTGATCGCTCTGCTGACACATCATAGTTGGTATTGCTTCTTGCAGGTGATCTCGTCATACTCTGCATTTTTATGGAGTTGACTGAAATAAACTCACTCTTGTAAATGCTATTACTTGTAGGAAGTGTGGTGGTTCTTCTTCTTGAAGGGAGAGCACATGATGGTGGCAAAGGGGCTGCTGCACATGCAATGGTTCTGTCCGTGAAGCAGGCGATGTGACCTCTTTTTATACCAAATTGAGTGGAAAGATCTCCGGTGCTCAGGCCAAGAAGCTCGGGAAGACATTTTCCAGAGGCCTCTAGTCTGTCTCCATATTGCATCAGAGCGCGATCATGCAGGTATGACCTGATTTCCAGTGAATCCTGTAGTATATACCATTTAAAGCCTTTAGAGGTCACAGATGAATAAGATTGGTTGTTCTTGAAAACATCAAATTTTGGAGAAAACTTTAGAAAATTTGCCTGAGATTAAAGTATATTAGTGAATAGCTTCATCAAAGAGATGGTCATTAAAAACATCAAGAACATGTATTGGCTCTGGAAATTTCAAGATTGGATTGATAGCAAAATAACCTTTTGTTGTTGAGTCATGTTTACTCCATCCATATCCTGTGAATTCATAATCTTAAACGTCGGTACATCATCCCAACCTTCTTCTATTAGCTTTGGAAGAAGTTCCTTTAGTGATCCATTCCCAACAAAATCCTCCATTGAAAGAGAAGCCATCCTCTTGTGAAGCTGAGAATGGTCCAAATAGTTGAACCTTTATTGCTGAAATGAGTTCTGAATATATATCTAACTACATCGGATAAGTCCAATTAATGCTGCTATTTGTATGAAATCATTACTGAAATAAAATATTGAAGCTTGCAAGTTGCAGCTAATTTCAATGATGTCAATGGCTTATGAATTTTGTTCAATCCTCTCATGAATTGAATAAATTGGAGATTTTTTTTTTAATTTTTTTTTTAAGTGATCACAATAATTTATTCCATTTCTTTGTTTAAATCCCATGTTTTATCTGATAGGATATTGTCTTCTAAAAGAATATCTTGACCTTCACTTGATGACAAGTATTTCAATTATAAATGACTTCCTAATTACAGAAGAGGACAAACAAATTACGAAAGAGAAGAGTGCTGGCAGAATAGTTGGGTCAACTGTGTCATACATCCAGATTTATGTTTGATGAATCTATCCATGATATAAATTTTTGCTTTCAAATGCTACCTAAAGCAAACTATACTTACTTTAATTTATTAAACAAACTCTTATTACTTTAATTTCAGTTGTTTTAAACTAGATCAGAACTGTTTTGCTAATATTAACAAAACCAAAACATTGATGGGTCCTTTTCGTGGGGTCACATTGAGTTGAACAAAACTAAATTAGAACAAGTGGAATAGAGGCCAAAATTAGAGCTAAAATCAGTAACTGGCCAGAGAAAAGGACGGTCAGAAGATGTCACGCCCTCACTTTCAAATGCTACCTAAAGCAAACTATACTTACTTTAATTTATTAAACAAACTCTTATTACTTTAATTTCAGTTGTTTTAAACTAGATCAGAACTGTTTTGCTAATATTAACAAAACCAAAACATTGATGGGTCCTTTTCGTGGGGTCACATTGAATTGAACAAATCTAAATTAGAACAAGTGGAATAGAGGCCAAAATTAGAGCTAAAATCAGTAACTGGCCAGAGAAAAGGACGGTCAGAAGATTCTCAGATTAAAGCAATGTTAGGTATCATGAAAAACCTTTCATGAAAATAATCATGAAAGCTTTGTGATCCTTGGATTACACTTAGAATAAAGGACCACATACTAATTAAGGTAATGCAAGGATCATAAATCTTTCATGATCATTTTCATGAAAAAATTTTCATGATCCCTAACTTTTCTCGATTAAGAAATAGGTTTTGAGACAGGGATAGCCAAACCGTTAGATTTTATAATGGATCCAAATGGCAGTGGCATATATGGAATTGATGTTGCTCTTTTAAATAATCAACTAGAGGTGTATTTGATTATTTCAAAAGCCTGTCTTTTTCATCACAGATGACAACTTAAAATTATTGCAACATTTAAATAAGAAATCGTATGTTCTTGGCAGGTCATATTGAAAACCTGAGGACTCATAACTCCATTAACAATCTAGTACAGTGCTCCTTCTTCTTCTTTTATTTATTTATTTATTTTATATCAGCAACAAAATGGAACTTTTATTAAAAAGAAGAATAAGAAAGAGATACAAAGGACGACAAGGAGGGCCCGTGGGTCCATCAGGGGACCTTCGACAATCCAATCCGTTAATATTTTAGATCTCTTTGTGTAGATCATCCACAAATATATATATATATATATATTGATCTGATAATGGCGGTTACATAATTTTATTACATTTTCCGTCAAAAAAATGGATGGACTATTTTTAAATTTACACTTACCATCTACTCTTTTGGAGAGAAATGTGATGAAAATTGAAATTATGTCATTACAATTATCAAATCAATCAAAAATATTATTCATTGTGTTTGGTTTGAATTTTTTTGATTAAGTTTTTTGAAAATTGAGTTTTTTAATTTTCGTGTTTTTTTTTTATTTTTAGTGAATATTTTTAAAATTTTAAACATTTTTTTACTTTTTTAGATGCACCTTACTCAGATGATCTAAAAAGTAAAAAATTTGTGAAAAAATATTTTAAAAAATTCATAAATACATAAAATTACAAAAAATATACTGAATTCTCATATATTTTTTTGTATTTTTGGTATTTAGTGAATTTTTAAAAGGTTTTTTTCACAAGTTTTTTACTTTTTAGGTATGTTTATGTTAGGTATGTCCCAAAAGTAAAAAAAAAAAATGCTTAAAATATTAAAAAAAATTCAGTAAAAATAAAAAAAAACACGAAAAATAAGAAAGTAAAAATTTTCTGAAAAGTATTTTTGAAAAAATGGAACCAAGCATGTAACAACCCTCATTTCGACTTAGTCATACTTGCATACATTTATGAATGATCTTGTTTTGGTATGTGCATTTGCAAATCTTGTCTTGTTTTACTCGAATGTTGCTTGCATGCTTTGTTCTTGCCTGGTGTGTTACCGAGGTTTTCTTGAGCCTAGACACCTTCGAAACCTTTTCCACTTAGAATTACCTTGGAACCCCATCGGTTGACCTCATCTCTACCCTGGCATGTTGGCCGAGATGTCACCATCTAGGCCGAGGTGCGCGTCGCCTAGGCCGAGATGTGCATCATCTAGGCCGAGATGTTAGTATCTAGGCGTGCTAGATCCTTGATCCTTGCACTAGCGATTTTGTTCCTGGAATGGAATGACCTAGACCGAGGTGTGGCACATCTAGGCCAAGGTGTGGCACAGCTTAGTCAAGTGTTATCCTTCCAAGCCGATGTCCTTGCCACTTGCTTGCCGGAGTCTTGTTGTTAGCCGATGTCGCTACTTGCCGGAGTGCTCTTGCTGTTTAGCTTGTTGAATACACCTCGTCATGGTCTTGTCTAATCAGTCAGTCACCTTTTCGAGTAGGGCCAATCAGCCGGTGCCATGTGTCCCAGTAGAGGGACTAAGTCAGTGACTGTCGGGAGAAACATATCATTTTGTATCAAATCTTGCCTTTTAGAGAGAGAGAGACTCTAGGAAGGAGGAGAAGTTGAGCAAGAGAGAGTAAACTTCCAAGCTTGATCGTGGGAGCTTGAACCGCGAGATTCGAGTTTTGAGGTTAGAATCTTAACCTACTCTTGTTGTTCTTATTGATCATCTAGCTGCATTGCACGATCAAACCTGTTCGGCACGTCATGCATTGATTTAAAGTTGGTTTTAGAAAGAGAAAATGGTTTTCATGTGTTCTTGAAGAAAAGCCTCGTTTGATTCAAAAGTTTGCATTAAGGCTCATGTTTTTGTGTTTGTTTTGATAAGATCCTTGAGTATGGGTACCCCGGTCCATGTTTTTGAATTCATAGCATGAAATCTCAGCTTTCGTAATAGCAAGTTTTGATCTTTGCATTCATCTTCCTCATGTTCATGTTCATGTTCTTCATGCTCATGTTCTTTATGTTGTCAAGAGGGGAACCCAGATTTTCCCGACTTCGCTTTTGAATGTGGCCGTCTGGGCCACACCTCGGCAAGGAGGTGTGGGACCTCGGCCTAGACCTGGTAGTTGCCCAGCATGTTTTCCAGAAATAAGAAACGGTGTTTTGATTTGATTTGACTTAGTTTTTGAAGAATGACGAGGTCATTTGCATGCATGCAAGACTTGTTTTGAGAAGTGCATCCAGTAGACTTTGCCATGTGTTTGTAGGACTTGGACTTGCCTTGACCCCGACGTTTGCAGAACTAAGTGAGTGGTATTTTTAATAAAACTATGTTATATGTTTTGATAAAGACTTTGCTTTGCTTTGTTTTGAAAGTATTTTCTTAAGCATGAATAATTGTCCCTATTTTGTATATCAAGCATGATCTTGTTTTGATGATCTTCTCGGAAAGTCCCTTGTGCTGGAGGACTCTAAACTTTCGTAGCACATCTCGTTTGAAAGTCCCTTGTGCTGGAGGACTCTAAACTTTCGTAGCACATCTCGTTTTGAAAGTCTCTTGTGCTGGAGGACTCTAAACTTTCGCAGCACATCTTGTCTTGAAAGTCCCTTGTGCTGGAGGACTCTAAACTTTCGCAGCACTCTCGTGTTAAAAGGCTACGGGCCTTTGTAACATAGGTCCCTTGTGCTAGAGGACTCTAACCTTTTGTAGCACCCTTGTTTGAGATGTCTCCCTTGCTTTGTCTTGTTTTGCCAGTGACGGTTTACCGCGTGGATATGTTTGCCGGAATGTTATCATTTGTAATATGTTGATGCTAGTAAGCATCTCTTGAAGCTTTGAAGATTTGTTAGGTGGACGAGGTCCATCCCTTGTTATATAAAGTTTTGACTTGTATTGTTTTGAAAGGACTTCGGCTATTATTCATGCGAATCCCTTTATTATTTATACCATTCACTGAGTATCCAAGCTCACCCTCTCTATATATATGTAGGTGATGAGCAAGAAGGCGGTGACGCCTAGATGTGATTCTGGAGCCTATTTTGGATTTTTTATTAAGTCGGCTTGACTTGTATTTACGTCGGCAGTCTTGAAAATTATGCTTCTCGACTTGTAATATTTGTATTTCGTACACGTCGGCTTGAGAAGCCTTTTGATCAAGATGTGTGTTTTGTATGTATGTTATGTCGGCAACGAGGATGTCGGCAATCGGGCAGACTATGTTCCTTGACCTGTAGTTCGTACATTTTGTTTGTGTCAGCTTGTGAAGCCCTTTGTTAAAATGTAAGATGTAATTTGTACTTTGCTTCATTTGTAATTAAGTTGTAACCCATATGAAGATGATTGCTATTTCATTTGACTTATGCTCAGCTCTTATGGACTAATCTGTTATGTATGAATCGCTTCCGTACTTGTTAGCCCCATATATTTATACTCTGATTGTGTATGAATTTTGAAAGTTGGTCTTCGGTAATCCCGGATTACTGGCCATCACGGCACCAAACTACTAGGGGCGGTTTGGGGTCGTGACCAAGCAAGGTGATATTATTATTTTATTATTATTATTATTATTATTATTTTTTTTTTTTTGTTTTTTGTTTTTTTTTTGTGTGTGTGTGAATGATCTACGCAGATGGGTCTAAAATTCAATGGATCATATCATCAAAGTGGGGCCTATGGTGGGCCCATGAGTTCAAACTGAAAGGTTAAATTCTCCAAATAGGACTGGAATATCAAACAGAATTTTTTGTTCAAAAAGTAGTGAGTGGTAGTTCTTTGCAGTTATTGAAGTTAATTGATTATTTGATGATTGTTAGATGTGTAGTCATCAGCACTTCAGGTATACAGAATTAAACTACATAAAAATACCCAAAATACCTAATTGGGTGTGAGTCCCACACCCGTAAATTTTTTTGTGAAACCTACACCCGTATAAATATTTTGAATATTTTTTTCCATAATTTAATCTTGCGTACCTATTTTTGTCACTGAAGTAACAGCTCCCACCTTTAATTCTGGTCGCTGCCCTACGGTCACACTGTAGTGGGACATCACAATGCAATGGTTGGAGCCCTGCTCCCTAAGAAGCATGGACACATGATACGACACGGACACACGGACATGCAAATTTTTAAAAAATGTAAAATACGATACATTGGGGACGCGTGTAAAACATATAATTTTATACATTTATTATATGTCAATTTTTAAATATTTAATATGTGTTTTATGTCAAATTTTAATTTTATCAAATTTATCAACCTTAGGTATGTCCCAGCATGTCCACAGCGTGTCCCAGGGTGTCCGTGTCCGACTGTACATGACCTCCGGAGAGGTATCCGTGCTTCATAGCTTGCTCCCATAACCATAGCTAGTATCCTTTAACTTATTTCGTGTTTGGTTCATTGAAATGAAGGTAGAATGGAATGATTATTTTATTAAAATATCCATTCTCACTTTAGTTGACTAAAAAAATGAAAAATACATTGCAAATAGAATCATTATTTACCACTTGATTCTCATATTTGGTTTCACTTAAAAAATTGTGAAAGATACATTGAAAATGGAATTATCATTTACCATTTTAAGTGAATAGTCATTCTATGGAGAAGCTAAGAAACGAGCATTCCATTCCATTCCATTTCACTTTCATTTTAGTGAACCAAATGTAGGATCAGTATTTCTGCCATCCATATGAGTTATTTTTGAATCATGGATTTGTGGACAGAAGATATGAAAAGAAAAATCTCCGGTTTTTTTTTACCCCACAAATTCAGGCCTCAATTTTTCTACAATTAAGGTGTAACATAGGTATGGTCAGTATGTACCTAAATCATGGAAATGTATGATTACTAACAAATTTGAGTAGTCAGGATATTTGAAACATTGGTCATTTCAATATCATATGTTACTGTCATTGTAGATTTGAGAACCTCAACTATATCGAGGGACTGCGATTCCAAGACCTCCTTGATGTTTGAGGTAGCCAACAACGCATTTATATCCATATGATATGGCGATTAGCAATGAAAGCATGTAACCCAAAGAACAATTTTTTAATGATCAAGGTCAAACATCAAAATTTCTCAGACAATACTGGCAAGTCAGCATAAAATATGCTTTCCACTTATCATGATTGCATAATCCACATTACCTAACATATACATGTTCACAATCAGTGTCATAGATGCATGAGAGACTTCACATGGTGAAGTTGGTAGTGAAATTGGGCATCTTATTCAAATACCTCAAGATATTCTCAGCCATCTGCCTAGTATTCCTATCTCCATGATGGAAAGCACTGATCAATGTAGCAGGAAGTAACCTATCTTGTGATATATCTGAAACAGAACTTTCCCCACCCTTCATCAAGAACCTTTCAATCACCCAAAATGATTTCTTCCACAGACTTTCTTCTTTGTGATCCCTCACCACATTCAACACATGCTGAATGGTATTTACTCCACTCAGTATTGTTACACTCTTGTCCACATCAACCTTATCATCCAACAATGTACATATAGCTGACAAGGCAGCCTCAACCACCTCAACTTTCTCATGCTCCAAACAGCCCAACAGCCTCTCAACTGCCTTGGCTTCAAGCAAACAAAAGGTATCTTTTGAAGAACAAACCCCTCTGTGAACTGGGCATACCAGTATGTTTTTGTGCTTTGATGATTTTAAAAATGCACATTTTGATAAAAAGAGCAATCTTTTGTACTTGGGTTTCTTCACTTCTAGTGGTTTTGATAGGTTAACTGATTGTGTTGAGAGATTTTCCAACCCAATTGCTGATAACCTCTGAACTTCATCAGTTGATGTTTTCATAAGCAATTCCGTGAATACTGAAGTGAAGTTGTTGGTTGTCACAAGAAACAGTATCTGGTGGTCATATAGTGTGGTTGTGAATCTGACAAGAATACCCACTAGGCCTTCTAAGTAAGCACTTGCATACCTGCTTGTTCTTGTGCCGCTTCTTTGGATTTGATTGATTGTCTGCAGGACTGTGGTGACTGTATTCTTGTTAAGGAGAGCTAGGTTGAGTGTAATGTTTTGGTGAGGGAGCTTTGCAAGGAAATTTGCTGAAACTGCATGCTTCTCTGTGATTCGGGTTGTTTCAGTTGGACTTTGGATTAGGCTCTCAGGTTGACCTCTAGTTTTGCATAGTCTGTCTACTAAGGTATGACCCATGTACGGTGAGAGTGTGATGAGCAGTTTAATTGCTGCAACCCCAAGTTCCTCATTCGGGTTATTGATTAGTTCAATCAGGTTGTAGCTTGCTTCGGCCTCTTTTACCACAGACACAATTGTAGCTGATGATTTTGGAAACTTTGTCAAGCATAAGAGGACTCTAATAAGGTCGATGTTGAGTTCATCTGGGGTTGAATTCTTGAGTAAGTGGATGATGTTGTACAAGATGTAATCTGAATCCACTGTGTGGCCACGGGAGTTCACTTGAAGGGCCTCTAGCTCTATCCCGGACTCGAGTATATTTGCAAGTATTGCAGCGGCTTCTTTCTTTGAGTTCATGGGTTCATTGTAGATTGTCCGTGTGAACATCTCTTCAACAATCATTCTTACTATTCCAGCTTCAACAAGTACTTTGCTGTTTGGGTGGTAAAAGCAGTATTTGCTTTAGAGCTAAATGCGGCATTGCCTGATCAGAGAGTTTCCACTGTGCACCCATTCTTGACGAGAGCAGGAGAAGCCCTCTCTGCCACTTGGGTTTTGCTGTCATGTCCAAGTACAATTTCCCCAAGGTTGCTTGCCATCTCCAGCTTCATCTCTTCAGTACCTGGTTACATGTTTCTTATATTTATGGTTCATTAGCAGAAGTGTAGTTTTACATACCATGGAGATGGCCGGACAACGGATCGGATTTTTCCGAAAAACCTGAATCTGTTAGAGAGAAATCCAATCCGATAGTCCAAATCTGCCAAATCCAATTATTAATGGATCAGATATCAAGAATCCAATCCAATCCAATTAATAATCCGTTCCAATTAACAATTTTTCTTACGTTGTGTTTGGCTCATGGATTTGAATAGGGATTTGGAAAGGAAAAGGGAAAATGGTGGTGAAATATAACTACATTTCACGCACTTTTTCTTTTTTCATTTCCAAATCCCTTTTCAAATCATTGAACCAAACACAACCTTATAGTATTTTTTTTTTTTCAATGTAGTAAAAGTTAATTTTTTTGTTACCTTTTTCTTCTCATTTCTTCTCCATTCAGGTACAAACTCTCTTAAGGATATGTTTGATTAGAAAGAAACTGATGATGGAAAGTGAAAATGATTGAAAATTTTGGTTTGCAATAAAACCTTCATTCCAGTAAATATCCTCCTAATTAATGTAAATCAGTTATAAGTCTTGGACAAACACTTCATCAATCAACTTTATCGCATTCGGATTGTATATTTAATCTTTGATATCCTCCTAATTATTAAGCATTGTCCAATCTGATAATGAATATGTAAGCATTCAGCTGTGGCTTAATCAGATCGAGTCAGATTCCCGGATCATATATCCTTAATTATTGGATTTGATTTTGGGTTCTCTGCAATCGTGTATGATATAGGTGGATTCGGATTCGGATTCGGATTCGGGTTGTATCTTAATTAAGTTGGATTCGGATTTTGCCGCATCCAATTTGAATCCGGTCCGGCCTACCATATAGTGTTTCAATTTTTTGGAGCTCATATAAAGCTATGCAATCTAGAGATTCGTTTAGAGGTCCATATAGGCATATATGTGGTTTTTGAAGAACCTCTTCTTTTCTATGATGATATGTAATTTCCTTCAACAGTTTAATGTCTGCTTATAGAAAGTAAACAGCAGTAATGATTGTGGTGGGAGTGTGAAGATCAGAAATCACCTTCAATAAGTTGATTTAGAAGTGGTTCCAAGTGTCCATTTTCTGCCATTTGCTTGATGTTATCTGGAGACCGCTCCAAGTTCCTTAAGATTTTGTCTGCTTTTTCTGAAGCGAAGGTATCAGAGGACCGTTTGTATTTGATTGTTATTAGCATAAGAATTCCTCCAGGAACAGATCCGATTTCCTGACACGAGGATTGAGATTTTGACAGCTCAAGCAAGAGTAGCAGTGACGCGTGCCTTATGGGTTGGTGATTACTTGACAGCATCTTGACTATGATTGACATGTTAACTGTCATGGCTACCATTTCCTGTGCACAAAAACACCAAAATAGAATATGATTGACATGATTTCTGAGTTTTATTTTGGTTTTGTAGTTTTATTTTATAAAATTTCTGGAAAATCAAGGGAGGATTCGACTATTATTCACTTGTTTTTTGACGAGTAGAGAAGATTGAAATAACCTTGCCCTCATCGTCATCCTCAGCCAGTTGAAGCAATAATTTCAGTGTTGCACATCTCACATTTCTGTCTTTATACTCCAGGAATTTAGCAACCAATGGTAACATTCCAATGCTGAGAATCTGTATTTTATTGGTATAATTCCCATGGCAGATACTCTGTAAATCTTGAAGTGCTTCCAAGACCATACTGTCTGTACTGGCCAGTGACAGGGCTGCCCGGGCAACCTTGATTCTTGATGCTTCATTTCTTTCTTTCCATTCATCTATTGTTGCCTTCAAAGCCATATTGGTGCTCAAAACTCTACTCACTAGCTTCTTCCCTGTTTTTGGGCAGATAATATGCTCCTTGTTTTTAGAATTTCCAAACCACTCGGTAATTGCCTTCCTCTCATAGGTTACTCCGCTGTCTATGGTGACTGGATCATCCATAATCTTTTTTGTCAATGGACAGAAGAAAGTGTCATACAGAGGTTCCATGTACTCTACATGTGGCAAAGTTGTCGAGGATCCAGAGCTGCTGTTCATATCCCTCGTTTGGCCGCTCCTAATTATGCTTTCAAGAGATTCAACCGGATGGAGATATGGTATGTCCGATGACTGAGTACTCTCCATGGAAAGTTCAACGTCAATAGCGTAGAGGTCTGTTTCTATCGGTGCTTGTTCTTTCCTTGCTATGAAGGGTTGAAGTTCTTTCTTCTCTGGTAGTTGAATCTGTGTTACTTCAAAGTGAACACTTTTCATTTCCTTTGAAAGAGAGCGAACTGCAATTTCAATGTATTCTTGGTCTGCGAATGTTGATGATGGTATTGAACTCAGGTCTTCCCCTATGTGTTTTATGACCCCTTCAAGCTGTTCTATAGCGCTTCTTACTTCGAAATTCAGACTTTTGTGGGCACCCTTTTGGCATTTTCCAACAATTTCTTTGGCCAAACCAATGCTTTTGGATAGAGACTGTAAAATCTTTGCTGTGATTGTTGACGAGTTCTCTGTTGTCTGCAACTCCATGACAGCTGCAGAAGCCCGGTAAAGATAGCTTCCAATTTCAATGAAGTTATTCTTTTCTACTTCTATGCATGCCATTGCTGCTGTGATCTCTGAGATAGACACCACCAAGGATACTGCACGACTTGTGATTGGAGTCCTGTCTTCCTTGAGCTGAAGGAAAGGTGAAGATATTAATTTTAATGTGATATTTTTGAGTTTAATTCAAGTTCCTAGAGACTGTAAGATCACTGAGTTTTCTGCTTCATTGGACACTAAGGCCTTGTTTGGCATGCAACACTTTTAGCTTAAGAGCTAAAAAGTTACTAAAAAAATTCAAAAAAACCTGTAACTTATATCATAAAGTCAAAAATTCTCTTCTCTCGTTTGCACTCTCAAAATCAAAAATTATTAGATATTTTCGGATTAACATGTGATATGACATTTTCTACGATATTTTGATAAAAAATAAGAAATTGTAACACAAATTAAGTTAAATTATTTTTTAGCTTTCAAACAATTTAACAAAAATGAATCAACATGTCACATGCATAAAAAATTTCGTTACCTCATTGTAGCACCACATAACATAAGCAAGGATGGAGCCACCTTAGGACGGGTCCAGTGCCCATCCTAAAGTTTTAATAATTATACTACTATTTCTATTTATAAAGATTGTATATTATTTATGCCTAACAAAACTGTAGTAGTGTCTCCTCCTTAAATCATGTAAATTTTTTCGTATTTTTTAAATTTAAAAATTGTTTTATTCTATTCTTTTAGCCATTCTTGTACACTCTTAATTGACATGTCAAGGCAAGCATTAAATCAATTGACAATTTATTTCTCGTTGTGAAGTTTGTTTAGTTATTTATTTCTTTCCATTGTGAGACTCTTTGTTGAGTTGATAGTGTTGGGCTTAATGATTGTAAATTCAGTTATTTGTTTGTTCCTATTGTTGAGTTAATAAAATTTAGTTGTTGATTGTGAATTTATAAATCACGTTGATGTAAATCTCATGATAATTGTAATATTATATTTCATTGATTGACAAAATAAATAAATAAATAAATGTAAAAGTTTAATAATATATAGTTACTGCTTGTTATGAAGAAAAAATTAATATTATGATTAACATGTGCCCTCTTTACGTTAAATTTCTAACTCTGTCACTGCACATAAGCATAGCTAATGTCACATGATAATTATACCTGAAAATAATTTCTGAAAACTCACAACCAAATAGATGATAATAGTCAGCATGTTTGTTTTTAGTTTTTAGAAAACACTTTTTAAAAAATTTTACTTTCTTATTTTTGCGTATTTTTTGTTTTTACTGATTTTTTTTAATATTTTAAGAATTTTTTTTAACTTTTAGACACACCTAACATAAATACAATTAAAAAATATTTGTGAAAAAAATCTTTAAAAAATTCACTAAATACCAAAAATATAAAAAAATATAAAAATTCAATATATTTTTCGTATTTTTATGTATTTATTATTTTTTCACAAATATTTTATTTTTTAGATACATCTAAATATGGTACATCTAAAAAAAATTTTAAAATGCTTAAAATTTTAAAAATATTCACTAAAAAAAACACGAAAAACAAAAAAAATTAATTTCAAAAAAATTAAATTTAAAAAACTGAAATCAAACGTACTGAATAGCCTTCGAGAAATTGTGGAGAATTATCCAGGAAAAGAAAAAAAACTAACCATGTAGTCCCGTGTTGGTAGTACATAGGAAGAACGTGTTGGGCACAAAAGACAGGAACCAAAGTTCATCTCATAAAGCATTAAATAATGAACTTTTCCTAGACTCTTCTTCAACCCAATAAACATGTAGATGAATCTTAGCCAGATGTATAATTTTGCTAGTTGCCCCATGAGGATCACAGAGAGGAATAAGTAAACAAATACCACTTATCCACTTTCTATCCAAAAAAATATCCAAATGCAAAGGTGTTTCCAAATTAAATTGAAATTGTGTTGGGTGAGTCATGTGACATATACCCTCTTTTATTTCATGATTTGCATTACCGCGACCGAAATGACTTATCCCATTTCCTACCTTAATAGAGGCAAAAAAACAAAAACAAAAACAAAAACAAAAACAAAAAGTTATCCGCAACTCTCGGTTGAGCATGATAAAGACTTGAAAATGAGATTTAAGATTTTGAGTTTGAGTTATTTCAAGAGGTCATTGAAAGTTTAGGAAAAGTTATCCGCTTGAATTATTAAATAATAATAAGAGTTATCCGCTTGAATTATATTTGTGGTTGTGCTACGCTTGGGGTTTTTTTGCTTCATTTGCAAGACCGTGACCAAATTGATTAGTAACATTTTTTTATGAAAAAGAAAATTTATATGTATAGAATTAAATTATAAAAAAATATTAAGAATATACATATCAACCTAATTAATGAGTACCACTTTTGGTAAGAATAATGGGGAAACCAATAAGAATAATGTTATATACACCAATTAGTATATTAACTAGTGTACTAATTGATAATGTGGCATAATTTAAGAGGTTTTTGAGATTTGTAATGTAATTAATGAGTGAGGTCAATAATAATGTTATAACTAGTGTTGGTATACTAATTAGTATATTAATTGATGCATGTAATTCCACCGAACCAATAAATAAAAAATACTTTGAATCATGCTATATTTTTAATTTTTTTTGTAATTTAATTTTATGTATGTAAATTTTTCTTCCTTGAAAGTTTCAAAAGCTTTAACTCGTTGTTTGTATTTGGTCACTCGAAAGGTCTTTGATCTCATTATTTCAGACAGGAAAAAAGTGGATTCTAAATTGAAAAGCATGTGAATTCGATTCCCACTTGAATTAAAGTTGTGGATTTGCTTTGTTCATTGAATTGAAGAGTCCTTCGTGAGACAAAGTGCTTTTCAATGTTTATCCATTTGATATTAAAAACTAGGAGTTATCTAAATGAAGTTTTGAAATTTAAAATTAAAAAAAAAAAGGTTAACAAATGTGACAAATTGTACCTTGAAAGGATAGAGACTCAGTAATCACCCGTGTTATGCACGGAATTTTATAAAATCAATAATTTTCATATAAAATTTACTATTTGATTATGTTTTTTAATATTTTTATTTAGTGTGTGTCTATAAATCTTACTTCACATCATTAAAAATATTTAATATTTCATATTATTGAATTTTTTTAAAAAATTATCATACATTAAGTAAATTATCACATAAATATTAACTAATTTATCTAAGAATTACTTCAGACAATCAAAAGTAGAGTAACAAAGGCATATTATAATTTAACAAAATGATTAATATTAAATAAAGGTAACACTAATTTTGTTTAATCAATAGTAAATATTACATTAATCATCCCACATAGTATAATGAATTAAAATAAAATTAATTTTAATTCCCATTATATTCTGTTAGTGGTTAAATTTTTTTCACATGTTATTTGTTTTTTTTGGTTATATTGATTCATTAAACATAAATAGGTTTGGAATGATTATAAAAATAAACAAATAAAATAAAATAAGATTTCAAAATGCATTAAAGTTGAATTGACAAACATAAAGAATATAAATATTTAAATTATTCAAAAAAAATTACCGTTTTTAATATGAGATCTTTTCCATTTATTCAAACTCTAAATCTGAATAATAAAAAAATAATAATAAAAAAAGAAGAAATTTTTGGTTTAGTTCTCAAAGGAAATGAATTTCTAAAAATAAATTTAATCTTGAGTTATTTTAACAGGATAATCAACAATAAAAAATCAACTGATGAATACATTTAAAATATAAACTCATATCCAATAAATTTTGATGTGTTCATTTTCAATCTAACATCTACACTAAAACAAAATTAAACACAATAGTCAATAAATAAGAGATTTAAAACTTGATAATAGTAGTGCTTTAAAAAAAAAAGAATAAAATCTCAATTAAATGACACATTATTAGCAAAAGGAAAGAAATAAAGAAAAAAAACAGATTGTAACAAAAAAAAATTAAAAATAAAATAATAATATCCATTTACATAAACTCACTTTCTCACAAATGTAAAGACTCATGCAAGTACATATTTTAAATGTAAATCAAATATTTAAGACTTTTTGGCAATGAAAAGGGATAAGAAATGACTCAATGTTGATTTTTTTTTTCCTTCTCCAAACTTTTGTTCAAGGTTACTTTTGCAGGAACTTGTTTTTATATTAAAAAGATTATGCTTAGACAAAAAAATTTATAGAATGCTATCATATTTAAAATTTATATGAATAATTAATTGAAGATTTTAAAAGATAAAATATTAAGTTCACCTTGAAGATAAACTTTAAAAAAATTAAACTGAAATATATGAGAATTCTATAACAAACTAACAAAAGATAAATATAGATCGTTAAAAAAGATTATCATCTTTTTGGGATATTTATCTCTCAATCTTAATCTTTTTATTTTAAATATTTTGTTATCTTTTATTTAAATTTTCATTTTGTAGTTATATTTTTATTTTTGCATACACATGGAGGTTACGTACTCCGGACAGACTGTTTCCTTGAGGCAGACCACAGATGCCACAACTTGTGTATATAACTCCGGAGGTGGGCATCCCTGATAGTTATGGTTGGTAACACTTGAATATTTGACCAAGGGGGTTTCAAATTAACCGTTGCCATGCTTAGTGGTTGGTAAGTTAAATCTTTTTGGTGAGATTTCGAGTGTCACATAATTTATTAGAATTATTGAAATTACTTTAATGGTTGTAATTTATGTTTACAATTATATTGTTATCTCATGTTTATAATCTAGTGAGTGTGTAGATGCGCCCTCGGCCCTCACTAAAGTTCAGACTCAAATGTCACAGTCCTGTATCTAATCTCGCGGAGTGCAATGCAAGACCGATAAATCATCAAAGAGTCCAAATCCGACAAATTGTTTTAACCTCATATCTTAGCCAAAAAAATCAAAAAGTTACTAAAATAGCTTATTCTCAAATGAGGCCTAAAGTAATTTTTAGTTCATTGGAATGAAATGGAATAGAATGAAATGATCAGTTTTTAGCTTCCTTATGGAATGATCACTGCCGCCTTATAATAATGAATAAGTATTCCATTTGTAATACGCACTTTTTTTTTAGTAAACCAATGGGAATGGACATTTTGATGAAATGGTCAATTCTATTCTATTTCATTCCAATGGACCAAACATATCATTAAGTTCTATTTGAGTCTCGGAATGAATGATTGAAGTCTAACAAATGTTTGCCTTGAGAACTTTTACATCATTATTTTCTTCTATAGTTTTAATCTTTTTTGGAACCAAATGGAGTGTAAATATTTATTGAGAGAAAATGTTTAGAATTTATTGTATAGCTTAGAAAGTGTTACAATGAAACCATGAATTTTGAACTCAGATATGCAAGAAGGGAATGGCTTCTCTCTAGTCCGTAATCGGACTGGAGAGTACTGTTAGAGCATCTCCAACCCACTAGGCATATCATGTTTGTTAGTCAAAATGCCTAGTATAACTTATTTTTTTCAACATTTTACCTATCTAAATATTACTATAAAGTATATATTTTATTTTGCCTATCAACTATTTTATGTTTTTACTCCAACCATGCTCTTTATTTTAGCTATTTATCCAAATACTATGAATTTTATAGAATGCCACGTCAATAACATAGATGGAGGGAAATGATCATAATGATTGAATACATTTTGCCTAGCGTTGAAGGCTAGCTACATGTAGCTAGTGTGATGTGGCATTTTATAAAATTAATAGTATTTAGATGAATAGCTAAAATAAAGAGCATGGTTGGAGTAGAAATATGAAATAGTTGATAGGCAAAATAAAATATATACTTTATAGTAATATTTAGATAGGTAAAATGCCTATTATCGTTGGAGATGCTCTTAGGCCCGTGGGGGTTCATCACGGGTTCCGTTTCGATAATTCGAACAGTTCAATGTGTAGAACTCGTCGAGTACTATATATTTATAAAAAATCACGTTGATCGGATATCGATAGCTATGTGATCAAATCAGATTTTTGTAAGCCGTTTATTTTTCACCATCCATTTTTTTCATACAAAACTGATTTGATCACATAGCTATCGACATCCGATCAATATGATTTTTTACAATCATATAGTACTCGACGAGTACTACACATTCAACGGTTCGGATTATCGAAATGAGATACATGGTTGGCCTCCACGAGCCCAAGAGTATCGTGCTGTTCGTGATTGGCTTGGAGGGAAGCCATTCCCATCAGAGAAATATGGAATCTGTTGATAAATATCCAAAGACAAAAAGAGAGAGTGAAAAGTGATCCCTAATTGAGAACTACATGAGTAGAATGGTTAAAAGCAAATAACAAAACATTCTATGAAGTCCAAAGAGTTTTAGGGAGAGGTAAAGAGGACAAAATCCAATCAAGAAAGCATGAAGTTTGAATCTCTTTCAAATCTTAAGCATATGTCAAGCTATGATGATGAAATAAACAAGATAAATACATAATTCTCCGATATTCATGTTTTGACAAACTAAATTATAACTCAATATTTTGTTGCAGAATAGTCAATTTAATGCTTGATTTCGGTTCACAAAGAGGTGGAGAAAGATTTAGTACCTGTGGATCAACCTTAAGTTGCGGAACTACTAGAGATCCTATGGCATGCCAAGAAGACAAAGATGAAGAAGAATCAATCTTGCAAAATACTCATTGTAATGGTTCATTGGTGTTTCTTAAGATGGTATGGTGTATTGTTAACTCTAGCTGCCTTGGCTTTCTATAGTAATTCTTATCATTTCTAACTCTCATCACATTAAATTTATCCCTTGTTGTGCCATTCAAATGCCATAAGGAGTGAAAAGTTTGAAAAGAAAAAAGAGGAAGAGAAAGAATTCAGAAGAAACAATCCAAGTTTTTTCAGATAAAGAGAATTCAATGATAGGTGATCAAAATTCAGATATTGAGATTCGTAAAAGCAGATAAAATACAAAGAGAGGAGGACAGGCACATACCGACGTCCAATCGGAGCCGTTGCTTGACATGAGTGTCCCTGATTTTTAACCCAACCTTGCAAAGTCTCTGTTGCTGCTCGCTCTATAAGACAAAAACTAAAACATTATTTCGGGTGGGAACTCTTGAGGTTGAAATTTCGATAGACGAAGAAACCTATGCAAGACGTGGACTTGGTCGGGTCCAGGTGGCATTGAAGAAACTGCCTTTGGTTGGTTCAATTAAAATTAACAGCATTATTTCTGGATTGCACTGCATTGACTTTGTCCGCTCCTCTGCAGTGCATAAATAATTTGGCACATGACTTGTTTATTTATTTTTTGTTGGTAATGAGAGTATCTAGAATTTTGTCCCAACTGGCCCCTGGTGCCGGATATATGCAATTCCCCTTTCTTACACATCAGATAATTACTTACCAACAGAGTCGTAATTTGTCACAACTCAACTTCTCATTCGGTTAACCCTTAGCCCATGTTTGTTTGGATGGATATGAGCTTGAAATTAGACTAATAATCTAATAAAATTATTAATCCGATATTTGGTTAAACAATTGAAGTACGGACTAACAATTCATCCGGATATGGTATCCCACATATGATAGACTATTCAATTCCACAGAAGAGAGTGGAATATAAATTGGAGGATTAAGCCAAAGTTTAAACTATTAGTCCCTTCTTATGATTCTAACCCAATCCAAACATAGGATAGGATACACAATCCAAAGAGATTCGTAATCATAGGGTTATTAGTCATGGAAATACTAATCCAATCTAATCAATTTTGCCCAAACAAACATAGCCTTAAATTACTTAGCATGGCATATGATGTTTTATATAGAAATAGAGTAGTTGAATGTAGTTGACTAAAGCCAGTGCCTTTGGAGATAATTGTTCATGCATGTTGTTGGGTAAACTAGCAGTGGGGCAAACTTTTCTTGGATTATTGGGAATTACATAAATTACTTATCCACAGAATCATTTGTTGAGGTAACTTCGTTTGTTTGTTTGCTTGGTTTTTTTATTTTTTCTTTTGGCTTTCTTTTGTTGTTTTTTAAAGGCTAAATTACACTTTGCTCCCTTTATGTTTAGTCAATTTCTCACCTTGGCTCTTAAAGTCCTCCCCCCTCCTAATTTTGCCCCTTTTATGTTTCAAGTTTTTTCTGCTTTACTCCTAAAGTTGATTTTTGTTAAAAATTAGACAAAAAATGATACGTTGACAGTGACAATGACACACAAATATTTTATTATGTATGACCCACACCTTTAACATAAATTTAGACTTTAATATAATAATATATTTTTTATGTTATGTGACAGTTATTGTGGCATTTCCTGTCTAATTTTGAATAGAAGAAGTTAGCTTTAGGAGTAAATTAGAAAAAACTTGAAACATGAAGGGTTAAAGTAGGAACGAACAAACTTTAAGGACAAAAGTGAAAAAATGACCAAATATAAACGCAACAAAGTATAATTTATTTTTTTTAAATGAAGAATCTTTAGAAGTAGGGTCACATTAGAGCCACCCATACGGAGTAAACCTCAGACAGCCAATTAATTAATACTGAATTTCAAACTTAAGAGGTCTAAATTTAGTGTTGATTGCAAAACAAATCTCTTTTTCCTCTGAACTATCGGTGAGGGTTTTGTGTAGATTACCCATTCTTATCTCTGTTGTGAATGGAGTGTCTACATTGAATTAGCAGTAAAAAAATAATTAGGCACTGTAGATGAAGTTTGATTAAATAGCAGGAAAGAGAAGTTTTAGGAGGAGGAAATATTCAACAAACATGTCACCTTCAAGTGATTATGATATTTTGTTGACTTTTTATTGTTTTGGAGAACTGTGATTTTGATTGGGGTTGGGATTGTGAGTGGTTAAGATTGTTGCACCGTCTTGATTTTTTGCTGAAACTTATTTTATCATTTAAGGTAATGTGTCATATATATATATACATATAAATATACTAACGAATGGTGGATATTTAAAGGCACTCTTAATTAAATAATTTAATTAAAAAACAATATTCTAATATAAAGTTTACAGAAATAATATTCATTACTATTTTCTTTCACCACTTTGAGTTATTTTGAGAACATGGTTAAAAGTTATCTTCTACCTTTATATTCATTTTTAGTCACATCATCTCTCACATTTTTTATATGTTTTTTGTTCAAAAAAATTAAAAAGTCAGCTTTTAACCATCTTCTCAAAATAGGACAATGCAATTAAAATCATATGTATGTATAGGATCTATATTATTTAATATACAATAAAACTAACCAGGGTAAATAGAAAATCACATAGGAAGTGAATAGGTCCAGTGTAATATTTTGGTGATATATAATGGCCCTTTAATATTTATAGCTATAAAATTTACAACTTATACAAATTAACAGTATTAACCTTTTAGCAACAGTGAAATGCAAAAATTACTACTCATTTTAACTTTTTAACAATTTAAAAATTTTAAAATGCTAAAATCAAAGTATAAAATTTAAGATATTATACGTCAAACAGAAAATGACACTTCTAAATTAAACATTTTTATGCCAACTTAATTAGTGGTACACCTAAACAATAATGTGTACCACATTAAAAATCTCCAATAGAGTTGTAAGAGCAAAGTTAAAAACACAATAAGCTGCTAAGTGAACGTCCAAGATTTAAGTTGTCAAGTTATCTCATACTTCTTCTGCTTGGAGCACATCCAAGCCCACTTTGTTTATAGGCTACACATAACACCAAGCACATTAAGTGTTTGTTTGGCATGCATTTTTTTGCATATATATATATATATATATATTTATTTGGATTATATTAATTAACATCTCATCTCTACTTTTCTACCCACTTTCTCCACTTTTCTACACATTTTTTTTTTATTTTTATAAAAAGTCAAAAAGTGTACTTATTTAGAACACCACAAACATCTCCTAATAGGTTTACAAAGCAACTATACGCAAACTACTCTAATCTATATAATAAAACACAATGATTTTTAAAAATGTCTCTTTTACAGACTTTGTTTAGTAACTAAAGCACCAAAAGAAGAATTATAACATTCAAGAATTTTAAGAAAAATAAACATAAATCTATTTCAACAGTTCAATAATTAATTAATTCAATAAATTAATATTTTTCATCTTGCAATGAAAAATAATTAACGAATTCAATAAATGCAAAATAGGAGAGAGAGAGGGACTTGGGTTACTACTGCACATAGTGCGCAATAGTCACTATTGCACGGTTTATTGGGCACATTATAGAGCTTATTTTGATGATTCAAACCGTTAATCTTTAAGAGTATATTAAGCAAACCACAACTGCAAAAAAATTAAATTGATCAAATATCGATAGCTGTTTCATCAACTCATATTTGTATTTAAACAAGTGAATGATAACTGTAATTTGAAATATAAAAATAAATACAAATGTATTTTGATGAAAGGCTTATCGATGTCCGATCAACTTTATTTTTGAGCAAGAAATTTATTTTGCTCAAAGTAAATCTAATTGTCAATTACATAGATGAGTTAATCCTAACTATTCCAATCAATTGTATCTTAAGACATTTTTAAAAACCTTTATGTTTTTATATAAATATATTGCAATCAAACATTGTCAATAAGGAAATGCAGGGAATAATCTTTGAATCATCATCATTATTATTGTCAGTATCAATTAGGTTGCAAAAACATTGGGTTGAGCTGGGCTTGGACCAGACCAACATTATGTAGTGAGAGTATATGTACCAAACCTGATCCGGTTCAACATCGGGCCTAATCCTAAATATTATTATTGTTAGTATTAATTAAGGGTGAAGAAACATTGGGTTGGACTGGATTTAGACCAGACAAATACTATATTATGAGAGTATGTGTGTCATTCCAAGTCCAGTCCTAAAAGAATTATTAAATTTCAAATATGCCCACTTAATCCAATATAGATGAACTATTGATTTATTTTTATTATTTTTTATGAAGTGCCATTAAATTATTTAAACTCTTTAAATAATTATTTGAAATTAAAATGTTAATAAAATTTAATTATAACATAAATATAATCTTTTAAGAAGTGTTTTAATCTAAGCTATAGAAAGAAGTATATATATATATATATTTATATCTATGTATTTTTTAAAATTATTTTGTAATTAAATAATATAAAAATAAGAATTATTGTTTTTTAAATGGATGGACCGGGCCGAGTTGGGCCACAAAACTCTTTATTTCAAACCCACCCCGAAAATTAAATGGGCTAAAAATTTTGTCCAACCCAACTTTATAAGCTAAATATTTTTTCCAAAACTGTAAAAACATTGAGCTGAATTGGGCGAGTTAGGCAGGCCATCAAAATCCTGGTATTTCATTCCATGTTCATTTCATTTGATTTGATGTCTCATGGTGTTTGTTGGGCCACATTCCATAAGGCCCATGAACTCTTCAATCTTAATTAAAGGATAGTTACAGGTTAGTCCTGGTCTTGCAACTTATTATCCATTAAGTCTTATTTCAAAATTATAATCATGTTTTTTCAATTACACCTAGGGATGTAAGAAAAATCGAAAAAATCGACCAAACCGATTGAACCGGACTAAACCGGCTATATTTGGTCTGTTTTTTAACAAAAATCAGTCTGTGCCGTTTTTAAATTTGATTTTTTTCAATTTTCGGTTCAGTGTCAGTTTAAACATCTTATGCACCGATCTAAACCGAAACCGACCACTTCAACATATATTGTATTTATAATATATATAATCTAATAATATAATGATATTAATAAGTATAATAAATTATTAACCTTAATTAATTAACCTTATCATCTTTATAATCTAAGTTTGTAAACTCTTATTATATATAATCTTAACTCTAACTCATTATTCTTGAAACCTTGGTATTTTTAAACCTTTTTTTTCGATTTTTGTTAATTTAGGAATTAAAAAGTATGTATTAAATGGATTGATTAGATATATTTGAAATAGTAGACAAATAACTAATTTAATGTTTTTATATAGATTAATGATTATATTTAAAAGTAGCTCAAGTTTGAAAAATTTTAAACCGATTAAACCGCACCAAACCGAACCATTTCAATCGGTTTGGTTTGGTGCGGTTTGATGGGAGAAACGGTCTGTAACGGTGTTTAAAATAATAAAACCGACATTATCAGTTCAGTGTAATTTTTTACCTAAATACCAACCGTACCGAACCGATTACATCCCTAATTACACCCCCAGCCCAAAATTTGCTACCTAACAACTTGCTTGCTACCCATCTTTATCATCAAACCCGATACCAAATTCGTCATCTTCAAACCCATTTCACACACACAAAAACAACCATTCTCACCCGCTAAACATGACCTCCATTGTCAGCCGCGAAGGACAACCTTCATTCATGCCATTTTCGCTTCAACCTCTCTCATTCAACCACAAATTTCAATATCACATTCCAAGAAGCCCATAATCTAAGCCATTGATTGTTCATTACTGAAAAATTAGACAAAATCGACTCAATTTCAACTGCGATCATTGTGTGATTTTCAACTAATATTCAAAATGCATACAAAAAGTAACAAACTCTCATAACACTCTCATCAAACTCTTGTGTTTTCGCACTATATTTGTTACGCCTTGAAAATAATTTAACAGTATTCTATGTATTAGCAATGCTACAATTGATTAAGAATCTCATAACTTCTATTCATTCTATCTTTGATCATTACAAAAGATAATATATGCAATATATATTCACAAATCTTAAATTCTGAATTTAAAACATATGGCATGGGCACAAGTGCAAAAAGGAAAATAAAACCAAATAAGGAAATTGTGGCGACCCCAATGCGTACATTATTTATATATATATATTTGTGTGAGTTTAATTACTTAATTATATATTTAAGTGTGAATATCTGTTTGTTTATGGAATACTGAAAACCCCTACTTGCATCCATTATTATCCACCCCTGTCCAATATTGAAAACCCATTGTCATTCCCTACCATTCTAACATAGATGCCTTCATTTTAGTCTCCATTACAAATAACAGATTAGGCTTTACTACAGAAAATCGCACTTTTACCGAATAAAAAATTAGTCGGCAAAAGTCAATTTTTAGTTGGCAAAAGTTATCTGTGACTAATTTTTTTGGTCGCTACTTTGGTCGCCAATTGAGGGTTGCAAAAAGTAATTAGCAACTAAAAGTTTTTTAGTCGTGAAAAAGTTCTATTTGCCGACTAAATTTTGGTCGCTAAATATATAATTACTGCAACTAATTCATTTAGTAGCTAAAATACTTTAGTCGCGAAAAGTCATTTTTCCGACCAAACATGTTAGTTGCCAATTATCACATTCCACAACCAAACAAGTTGATCGCCAATTGTCACATTCAACAACCAAAATGTTTGGTTGACAATTCACACATTCAACGACCAAAAACTTTGGTCGGCAATTGTCAAATTCCACGACAAAAAAATTTGGTAGCCAATTGTCACATTTCACGATCAAAAAGTTTGGTCGGCAATTGTCACATTCTAAGACCAAGCATGTTAAGTCGCCAAAAAGAATGTTTACGCAACTAAAACTTTAGTCGGCAATTGATCTATTAGCAATGAAATCCTTTGGTTGCCAAAATTAATGATTTAACAATTAAATATTTGGTCGCCAAATGTATCCTCTCGCCTACCTTATTTAGTCGGCAAAAATATTACTTATCTTTACCGACTAATCACTTGGTTGCCAAAACATAAAAAACAAAAACAAAATCAAAATTTAGTCGCCAACATCTAACAAAATAAACCTGTAATTCATAATAATTCATCCAATCCATTCAATATAATATGTAATTTGCAAGCATCATTCAAATCAACTGAATCATGATCATTCAACAAAATACATAAAGCACCCAATCCTGAACTTGTATAATGAAAGTCATCAACTATTGTACTCAGTTTTCATCCATAAGTAATTTCAAACTACATATTCCTCCAATTAAAAATCCGCTTATAATCTATACAATCATCCAAGTCACATCCATCTAGCAAAACAATTTAAAACATAACAAGTACTTGTTATTATGTTTTAAATTTTTATCCATGCGCATTTATCAAAAATATAACTAGTAGTCCACCCAAATATTTTCCATACACATCCATCAAAAAATATAACTATTAGTCTATCTAAAAATATAACAACTAGTCTACCCAAATCTTTTCCACACATCTATCAAAAAATATATAATCCTTCCAAAAATGCTTATAGTGCCAATTAGTCCTGTACAATTTAACTTCGTGCACAAGATCATCCATCTGTACCAAAGAAAATGAGAAATAATGTCAAATAATTCTTTTATGAAAATATTTGCACATCACTTTATTGTAAAATTGGACAAAAACTGAAAAATGTACATGGAAAGTAGAGGAAACATGAACAAATTAAATGACATTAAATGACTATCAATACCATTTTGTAAATAAAATAACAGCATTCATATGTATATATCCAATAAATATTACAATTTTAACTATTGTTCCACAATTTGCCAATATTGACCTGTGCTTCAACAATGGAAACTAAGTTAAAATAGTCCTTCTAATTCTAAATTCAAAATGTTTTGGTTGAACTTTTACTTGGAGGAGGGTAAGTGTGAGAGGGGAGTAGAAGATACGAGGTTAGGATTATCACATTTTTTGGTCTAAATTTGTAACCGTGCATCCTATCGACGCGCCACTTACTCTCACAAGTTTGTTTAATCTAGGCCGAGGTGACCGTTTCGATATGGGGGTTGATTTGATGCTGTTTCCAATTGTTGGCCCCAAATGGCCCGTTTTTTGCCTTTTTTGGTCTATATATCTAATTGTGCGTCCGATCAGCGTGCTGCTTGCTATCACAAGTTTGTTTAATCTAGGCCGAGGTGACCGTTATGATTTCGAGGCTATTTCCAATTGTTGCCCCTAAACGGCTTGTTTTCGCCTTTTTCATCATATTTTTTTGTCTAAATATCTAACCGTGCATCCTATCGACGCGCCGCTTGCTCTCACAAGTTTCTTTAATCTAGGTCGAGGTCACTATTATGACATCGGGGTTGTTTCGAGTCCTTTTTCCAAATTTTGCCCCTAATGGCCCTTCTTTTCCTTTTTTATCACATTTTTTTGTCTAAATATCCAATCATGCGTCCTATCAACGTGCTGCTTGCTCTCACAAGTTTGTTTAATTTAGGACGAGGTGACCGTTATGATATGGGGGCTGATTCGAGACTGTTTCCAATTGTTGCCCCCAAACGGCCTGTTTTTTGCCTTTTTTATCACATTTTTTTGTCTATATATCTAATTGTGCATCCTATCAACGCGCTGTTTGCTATCACAAGTTTGTTTAATCTAGGCCGAGGTGACCGTTATGATATCGGGGCTGTTTCGAGGCTGTTTCCAATTACTGCACCATGAAGGGCTAGAATAAGGTAATTGTGACAACTAAGCAAGTTTGTTTAATCCTGCACAATCTGTGTTGGAATGCAGTAATAAATGACTCATCTGCCTTCCTACACCTACAACACCAATTGGAACACGCGATGCCCCTCTTTTAAAGTGTCTATGGTGAGAATCAAATTTACCACTGCAGTCCATAACAAAGAGACCTTTGTAAGATCCCCAGATTTCCAAATACTCTTCCATGGGAATATCATTTTAACTCCACTAGTAAGGGAGTGAAAAGATTTTTGACTAAGAATCTCCCTCTATTATCCTTCCACTTCATAAGATTTTTTATAAAGAAGTGCAAAGAATGTATCTTAAGAGAGGACAAGCCCAAAAATAGTTGTGACAACTAAGCATTCTAGTATTTCAATTTCAATGGAAAATGACACTTCAAAGCCTGTTGCAAGAATCTTTTACCATGAGAAAGCAAGTTAAAATCACATGATGCAATATAAGTAAATAACTAGAAAAACCCTAAACAGAAACGCTATCTGCAATAAATTCCAGATATCCACAAATTTATACAAGTAGCATCTGTAAGAACTCACCCCCAATACTATAATCAGCTGCCCTTGCTGCCTGTAGTCCTTCTCTCCCACTGATGCCAACACCAATGTCAGCTTCTTGTATCATCCTCACATCATTTCCACCATCCCCAATTGCCAATGTTCTGTATTCACACGATTTTAAAAGTTACACAAGCTGAAAAGGTAAACATAAGTACTTACAATATTGCATCAAAGAAGAAAACAAAAAATACTAATCCAAGGATATATTGACAACAATTACTGCACCATGAAGGGCTAGAATAAGGTACTTTTGAGAAACTTCTTATGACGTGTGATGAGAGGAAAACACATTGGAAGAAGCTTACTGTAAGACTTTAGAGATAGAAAAACAGTTGGCCCAGTTCCTTTGGTTGCCTGTAGGGGTAGCATTGCCCCCAAACGGCCTGTTCTTGCCTTTTTTATCACATTTTTTGGTCTAAATATCCAACCGTGCATCCTATCGACGCGCGTTTGCTGGCACAAGTTTGTTTAATCTAGGCCAAGGTGACCATTCCCATATGGGGGCTGATTCGAGGCTGTTTCGAATTGTTGCCCCCAAACGGCCCGTTTTTACCTTTTTTATCACATTTTTTGGTCTACATTTCTAACCGTGCATCCTATCGACACACCGCTTGCTCTCATAAGTTTCTTTAATCTAGGCCGAGATGACCATTATGATTTCGGGGGTGTTTTGAGGCTGTTTCCAATTTTTGCCCCCAAACGGCCCCTTTTTGCCTTTTTTCATAACATCTTGTTGTCTAAATATCTAACCGTGCATCCTATCGACAAGCTGTTTGCTCTCACAAGTTTATTTAATGTACTCCTAGGCGACTGTGATGATCTTGGGGCTGTTTGGGGGCTGTTTCCAAAACTAATTGTATAGCATGCAGACCCTTTTCATACAAAACAAATTCGTTAAAGATTTCCACCTTTAGAACACACTTATCTGTTTCTTGTAAGCTTCCTCCTCTAAAATTGCTAAAGAATTTTATCCCTAGAATCATTGGTTGATTTAAAATTCATATTAAATTACAAGTGTTTAGTAATTTGTGAGGGATATTGCAGCAGCAAGTTACTAGTGTTTAGTCCTTGTGTGGCTGTTCTTTTCACTGTTACACAAAGATAAAATATTGAACTTTTGGCTGTTTGTTTCTCTGTTCTTCCACCCACTGTTTGGTTTCTCAGGTTGTATTGATATCTCCACTGGAATTGAGGACAGCATCAGGTGGTACTGGTTGGAGCTGTGCTCAAATTTCAGCATTGTGATCTGCTTTTAAGGACAACATCATTTGCATCCAATTTGTTGTTCGCTAGGAGGAAGAGGCAGCAAAATCCATGGCTTTTGCCTTTGGATAGCCTGAAATTACAGTCATGGCTGCAGCCCAAGCTGGAGTCTTAATGGCATCTGAGAAACTATGAGGCTCAATCAGAGCAGGATCAAGAGCAGCAGAAACCAGTGGGTGGCCAGAAAAAGGTTTGGATTTGAGAAAGAGTAAGAGAAGGAATACAAGAGAGGATGATCAACTAATGGAAGCAAAGCCACTTACTTGCACAAAAACAATTCCTCTTTTTTATAACTGAAAAACAGACTTCCAATGGTAGCAGCACACAATTAAACAGCTGTGCATATACCTTCTGCAAGTAGTAAAAAAAATCGAATACGCAGAGCCAATAACTGTCATGGATCCGCCTGTACTGGCACAATATGCCACCAGCTGCCAGAACTCCGAATCCTCACCCAAACATATAGTGCGATACCTACAACTAATCATTTAGATTACATGCATAGATCCTTCTCTTTTCTTAGTTGGATCTTTGACAAGACAATTAACAACACAGTGTATAAGCTAAATCTGGATCTTTGATAATGAGAACAAGTTTTGCAAATTCAACCCAACCATTCATATTGTTTGATACTTTCATATTGTCTTATTTCTTACACTAAAAATGATTGAATGAGCATAAGTATCATTTTCAATTCTAAAATCTATAAAGAAAATTTAGGCTACAAATAATTCTCGACAAGTCTTATTTTTTGGTTAAGTATGTGGTTTACATATCAAAAAAATAAAGATTACAATGAAGTTGAGGATCATATTTGCATATTATTTTTTATCAGCCAAATAGAGCACTCTTTATTGATGATAAAGGAGAAATACAACAACTGACAAGGAAGAGCGAGATTGCATCATAGCGAACCTAGCTCATCCCAACTAGGTTAGCACAAGGAGGATTGCAAAATCATGTGCAAGCTCAACCAAGAGAAACAAAGAGGTTGGCAAGAGATACCAACCACAACAAGAGGAAGGAAATAAAAAGATATAAAGAAATCACACACCAATGAAATAGCCCCATATATACACACCAAACCCAAGCTTCCATAAAGCATCACAAAAGCCAAACAAACAAAGGTAGCAAAGAAACCCACCCCACACCAGCAAAAAAAAATTCTGCCTTATGATAAAACCCACCCCTGTTTTCTTCCTCTGTTTTCTGTTTTCTTTTGAACCCAGCAAAAAAAATTCTGCATTAGTTCTTGGTGTTGTTCTTTAAGCACTGCAAGTTGATCTATAAGATTAGATATGCCTGAAGACATCTAAAGGGCTTAGAACATGTAAGCAAGCAACCAAGGCATACATAATCCAGCAAACGATCATTTGGAAATACTGACAAAAATTAAAATGTATTCTGCAAATCCATTGTGAACCAAGATAATGTGACAAACAACTGTATCAGGTAATCAAAAACCAAGCTGCAGAAAATATGCAATGAGTGAAGATAAATCAATATTTGTTAGTATTAGTTATGAAAAATCATAAGGAATACCAATAAAAAAGATGCGAGTTTACCCATGACTACGTATATATGTATGTATAAACCAAAAACATTTTACAATTTATTGAACCAAGCATATTTTATTTACGTCTTATATGCATAAATAAGCAAAGATACATGTATTTTCCTTTTATTCAGATCTTTTAGTTGTCTTGGTCAAATAGGATTGTACAATCTCTGACAGTGATCCAAGCCTTCTTTGCCCAAAGAGAGACTTCTTTTATTTCATTAAAACAGAAAAAACTATCAAGTCAACTTCACAACAGAGGCTTCACGCATTATGGGCGTGCTCCATCAGTTCAAATGCCAAGGCCTTCAAATTCAATTCTTATTGGTTTCAAATTTCATGAAGTTTAAGCTTTGGAAACAAAAATTATAAGCCATCCAACTTCTTTACAAAAACAAACAGTATTCCCAAATTGTAAAATGATGGAGGGAATCCAAACAAATATATGTATAGATAAGATAAATCACTAGAGGGAATCCAAACAAATATATACCAAGGTTCACTCTAAACACACCAAACCCAACAACACCTAAGCTTCCATAAAGCATCACATAAGGCAAACAAACAGCAGCAGTCCAAACTGCAGATGCTCTACTACCTCCTAAAGCTAGCTTACCCAAGACATTGTCTAGTTTAATGAAGGTTATAGACAAAGTCATTTACATAATGGTGGATTGGGTATAAATCCAACTCATTCACACAATGGTGGATTGGGTATCAGTTTGTCTGGTTATTAGCAGCAGAGGCTGAAAATTGGAACCCTCGTTTTGACATTGAGCAAGTCTCTAGCAAAACTTGTCAGATTTAATTTACAAGGATTTTCTACATAGGATGATCTACCCATAAAATTTTTTGGCTCAGTCGAATCGACCTTCTTCTTTGACCTACATATACAAATTTAAATCACAGAAAGTTTAAAATTATAGATAGGATAATTTATTATTAACTTGACTCCCTTCATCTACTATTTTATTATTATCACCTTTTTAGCTCTAGGATAAATTCCACTTTACCCTCTTAAACTTTTACTCAATATCACTTCAAAAAAAGGTAACTTTTAAAGAACTGTTACATAAATAGATAGGAAATTGAGATATCATGTAAAAGTCACATGTCTATTCTTGCAAATGAAGTCTCGAAAAACATTAAACCAGAGGCAACATACATGCTACTATACAACAAACTCCAACTGCATGATTTGATCAACCACAAAACAGTGTTCAAGAGAGGAATTATATAATCACATGATGAACAATATTTTTCTAGAAAGTTGTGCTATGTTCAGAGATTTAGATTACGTTTGGTACAATTTTGGAGTTATTTATTTATTTTGAGAATATATATAATAATGTTTGGTGTGCCTCTCTCTTATTATTTATGAGATAAAACCAAACATAAATAAATTAAAAGAAAAAAGGAAGCAACCTGTTTTACAACTAATATGAAAATAAATATTTGCTAGAGAAGAAACCTAAGACAAACTGTGAGTTCTTTTACAACTTTAAAGCAAAGGCTACATGTTTTGCTATTTGTTTTTCTACATGTTTTGTAGGATTGTATTGATGTGATTTTGTGAGCATACATTTGAGGGGTTTATAATAATAAATAAATAGAAATGGAAGAAAAAAGAATGGGAGCAACAAAAAGTGTGCCTGTGGCTTGGTCTACAAGAGAGGCAAGTGAATATAGGAGCCCACAACCCATATTTGGTCTAAACTCCATGGTTAAATTTAAGTATTACATAATAGATAAGACAAATCTCCAGTATAATATACTATTTTTTGGATTTGTCCCTATGATTTTGAAGGTTTGGTTGTTGGTGATTTGAGATTGGTTTTAATGATATGAAGATATGTATTGGGGAATTTGCTTTATGGTTGCTAAACTAGTTAAAATGGTGGAATGTTTCGAAGTTTTATGTTGATGATAAATGCTCTTTAATTAAGTCTTTAGATTCACAAAAAAATGGGGTACATAAATGTTGAATTTCCTCTGAGCACATTATTAAGCCAACAAAACATTACAAACTGTGCATTAAATTCATGGACAACAATTTTCTGAACCAAAAAAAAAAAAAAAGGGAACAAACCAATAAAGAAAAAGGTAGGCACTAACTATTATTCCATTGTGGCATTTTATCAAATACCTAGCATACATAATAGACAGAGATGACCCACCTCTAGCCCTACTCAAACCCAACAAAATGCAAAACAAATCAAAAGCTAAGTTTTAAGAAAAAAAGAAAATAATAATAAACGTTAAAAGCAATGTAACTGTATTACCAATTCCATAGACTTTTTCGTTAGTTTTACTCACTAATAGTATTTGGTGGTTGGGCGAGTATGAAGTTAGACTTCGTTCATCACAAGCAAACAATATATATGGGCTAAATGTAATGTTGTTTGATACTAGTATTTATATTTTCATCTGTCTATTAGATTTCTTAGTAGTGATAGATTCTTATTCAAACACCTTTGCTTTAAATTTCAACCTACAAATCCATGAAAATCTGTGAATTAAATTAATTTTGAAATTTCCTTTTGTTTGTTTGTATTGTAAACAAGGCCACAACATTACCTGATGAATATCATAGATATGTAAGATTTCTGAAAGCTTTTCTATATATTCAACTTAAGTATGTTTACAAAGAGTGCATCAGTTATATAGCCCTAATCTATGGCAGAAAAAGGAAATACAAAGAAAAGGGAATTTCCTAATTTGTAATATACCATATATACAATATATATTCTCACACCTTCGCTCAAACTCAAGGTGTTTTAGCAGAAAACACTGAGAGTTTGCTAAGAAGAAACTGAAACTGAGCGGTAGTGTGAGTCTTGGTGAAGATGTCTGCAAGTTGCAAAGCCAATGAGACAAAAGGAAGCGAGATAGAACCAGACTGCAGATGCTGTCGGACAAAGCAACAATCAATTTCAATGTGTTTCGTCCATTCATGGAAGACAATATTGTGGGCAATCTGAATAGCACTGCAGTTGTCACAATAGAGGGAGGTTGGAGAAGACTGAGGTACATCCAAATCAGAGAGAAGACAATGAAGCCAAACAAGCTCAGCAGTAGCATGAGCCATAGCATAGTACTCAGCTTCGGCAGTAAAGCGAGCAACAACAGTTTGTTTCTTGCTTTTTCAAGAGATCAAGGAATTGTCAAGAAACATACAAAAACCAGAGGTGGACTTGCGATCAATAACATCCCCAGACTAATCAGAATCAGCATAGGCCACCAAGTTTAAAGAGGAAGTAGACGACAACAGCAAGCCCTAAAAGATGGTACCCCAAAGCTAGCGAAGAATGCGAACCAAAGCAGCCCAATGGGTAGAGCGAGGAGCAGAACCAAAATGACTAATCACATGAACAGCATAAGTAAGATTAGGACGAGTGACAGTCAAATAAACTAAGCAACCCACCAGCTTGTGAAAGACCGTGGGATCATCCAGAGGGACACCATCAGTAGAGTTGAGCTTCACATTAAGCTCAATAAGTGTATCAGAAACCTTAGTATCAGTAAGACTGGCACGGTGAATAACCTCATTAGCATACTTGGCCTGAGACAGAAAATAGCCCTTTGGAGAAGAGGCAACCTCAATACCAAGAAAATACCGCAATAGACCCAGATCCTTCATTTCGAAGGTGCGGAAGAGATGTTACTTGACCTCAGAGATAGCAGAAAAGTCAGAGCCAGTGATGATCATATCATCACATAGAGGAGGAAAGCAACAAAACCAACCGAGGTATATCTCAGAAACAAAGCAGAGTCAGAAGCAAAAGGATGAAACCCAAGCTCGGTAACGGCAATTTGAAAGCAATCATACCAAGCATGAGGAGACTACTTTAAACCATACAGAGTACGCTGAAGACAACAAACCTGCACAGAGGAGTGAAGAAGACCAGAGGGAGGACGCATGTAGACCTCCTCAGTGAGATAACCATTAAGAAAAGCAGTCTTAATGCCCAAGTGATAGAGAGGCCAATTTCTAACAATGGCAACAGAAATCAAGGTACGGACAGTAGTCATCTTGGCAACAGGGGTAAAAGTCTCCTCATAATCAATAACATACTCCTGTGAGAAACCCTTGGCAACCAAGTGAGCTTTGTAGTGCTCCAGAGAACTATCAGAATGAGTTTTAACTTTATAGACCCATTTGCAACCAACCAGATTCTTGCCAGCGGGCAAAAGAACCAACTCCCAAGTGTTAGTCTTCTGTAAAGAAAACATCTCATCCTCTATAGCTTGAACCCAATTAAGATCCTGATAGGCCTCCGTGTAAGACTGTGGTTCTGAAAAAGAATGAATAACAGACAAAAAAGTACGATAGGAAGCAGAAAAACATGTATTAGACCAACCCAACCTGTTTGGAGGACGACGCTCGAGAAAGGCAACATGACGGGAGATAGAGTCGTCAGAAGTAGAAGGAGCAACAACAGGAGTAGAGACAACTGGTGGTAGAGGAGCTTGACGACGAGAATAGACCAACAACGGAGGGGAATAAGAAGCTGAAGGATGAGACGGAGCCATGGGTGATGCAGACGGAGAAGTAAGAATGGCCTCAAAAGGAACAATGGAGATTTACTCATCAGATGGGACCTCAGAAGGAAATGGGTCAATGTGAACCAAATCTTCTTTGGAAACGGGAGCAGTGAGAGGGGGAAGCTGAAAGTAAGACAGACGTTCGAGAAAGGCAACATGACGGGAGACATAAAGGCGACGAGAGACAGGGTTATAACTACAGTAGCCATTCTAAGTAGGACTATAACCTAAAAAGACACAGAGGACAGATCGAGCACTAAGTTTGGTCCTATCTTTGCGGGAAAGAAGGATAAAACAGGCAGACCCAACACACACGAAGGAGGGAGTAGTTAGGAATTTGGGAGAACAAAGCCTCATAAGGAGACCGACTAGAAAGAATGGGAGTAGGCATACGGTTGAGAAGAAAAGTAGCAGTAAAAACTACCTTCCCCCAGAATGGAGCCGGAATTGAGGCAGAGAGAAGAAGAGACCTAACTGTCTCAAGGAGATGACGGTGTTTATACTCGGCTCGACCATTTTGGGTAGGTGCATCTATACAAGAAGTTTGGTGAATGGTACCCAAATTGGCCAAATACTCACAAAACTCATTCTTAAAATATTCTCCACCTAAGTCAGACCGTAATACTTTTAATTGTAGACCCAAACTGAGTAGTAATCAAAGACTGAAAGGTACGGTAGATCTGATAGAAATCGGACTTATGAGTTATAAGATAAATCCAAGTGTAATGGGTGCTGTCATCAACAAATGACATATAGTATGTAGAACCCCTTTTGGTGAGAACTGGAGAAGGGCCCCAGACATCAGTATGAACCAAAGAAAACGGTGTATCAGATATAGAAATACTTTTACAAAAAGGTAGGGCTGTCGTTTTGGGAAGTTTACACCCCCGACATTCAGTAAGTTCACTAGGACAAATTTTACCTAATATACCTGACTGAGTTAAAGACCGTAAATGGTTAACAGACAAATCCTCTAATCTAGAATGCCACAAGTAGAAAGGATTGGACACAGAATCTAACTGAAAAGAGGAAAAAGTAGTTGGAGAAGTTGTCATAGGTAGATGCAAGCTCTCTACCACATAGAGGTCTCCAACTCTACGGCCAGTCCCAATCTGCTGCTTGGACATCCGATCCTGTACATAATATATAGAAGAAGAAAAGATAACATCAAAACCGGAGGCATCAAGTTGACTGATAGATAATAAATTGATAGATAACTGAGGAACATAAAGGACAGATGGAATAAAAACAACAAACATAACATACGGTAAGGCAGATCGAACAGATATAATAGACCCATTAGCAGCATTAATAGTAATATATAAGGGAGAGGGAATACAATTTTGAAGGAGAGATGAGGCGTCATATGATGAGAAGCACCCGAGTCAAAAAGTCAAACAGATGAAGAGATACCTGAAGAAGACCCAAGCAAACCTGAATGAAGATAGGAAACAACCGAAGCAGACGAGGAGGGCTGGGAAGTACACAGTATATATTGAAGTTGACTAATCTGAGCCCTTAACGAAGCCAAGTCAGGATTAGGAGTTGGAACAAATGCAGTGGTACTGACGGCGGGACAAAAAGTACTCAAAGGAGGAACTCGGGATTGGGTTTGAGACTGTTGAGAAGACGTGGCAGGCAGACGTCCCTTCTTGAGACAGTGGTACTTCCAATGGCCCCTCTGATGGCAGAAGGCACACTCATCAGACACTAGGGACATCATTATAATCAGAAAACTAGAGGGTTTAAGTGTAATAAACCAAGAACTGATGAGTCAAAATGTAATAATCCCAAACAATCACCAGGTCACCGTAATAAAATACACACACTTGTACTGATGCGGTCAAAGTATAATAAGGACAAAACCTGGTGGACTAAGATCAGAGAACTAAATTATGAAGAGATAACGAAGAGATAAAGCTTTGTGATCAGACACCAGAGACGAAAAGAGAGATAACTTCGTCCATACCAACAACGAAACTGAGAACTTCGAACACCAGAGACTGAGACTGATCACGAACAGAGTCACAGACTTGTGATCGCGATCAAGCCAGAGACTGTCGATCGAATCAGCCTAACAAACCACGAGGTGTGGTCGATTAGCGGAACCAGAGAGAACCAGAAAGGGAGATAGGTCGCGAATCAATCGCGATCCTGAAGCAGACTGAGAGAGGCGACGGTGACTGTTGAAGCGACGACAACGATGGCTGAGAGAGGTGACGGTGCTAGGGTTCACGAAGACTAATCGTGACCTTAGGTTTTCGAACACGGCTCTGATACCATGTAAGATTTCTGAAAGCTTTTTTGTATATTCAACTTGAGTATGTTTACAAAGAGTGCATCAGTTATATAGCCCTAATCTATGACAGAAAAAGGAAATACAAAGAAAAGGGAATTTCCTAATTCGTATTATACCATATATACAATATATATTCTCTCAAGATGATCATATATTTGAAGCAATGAATGGAAACAGAGACTAGAATAAATCAGAGAGGGATAGAGAGAGAAAGAGAGGGGTAGAGAAAGAGAAACAAAGAGGGCAGACTGACCTTCAAATCACAGTGGTGCTGTAGCTTGACGTCGTCAATACACAGGTGGAGGATGAATGAAGGCTCAATGATGAAGTGTTGATAGACTAGGGCACACAATCGAGGCTTCAAGGAGTTGAACGGTTTTTTTTTTGGGACTGATCTGATATATAAATAAATAAATCAAAACAAAACAAACAAATCTGATAAGTGCAAAATATGCATTTATAAAGACAGGAGAAGACTCATAAGAGAATATATTCATTGCATACAGAATCCTATGAAATGGACTTTGTTGTGGTTCTCATATCATTCATTGATAATATGGACTCTGTTTGTATCTTTAATATGGCCACAAAATTTTAGCAGCTACATCCTAAGCCACTCAACAAAAGAAAGCAAATCAAATAGAAAAACTAAAAGCAATTTCTCAACAATATATCTTACATGCCTGCATAGATGATGTATGGAGTTTGGAGACTAGCTAGCACATTTTATACGATTGTGTTCCATTTTTTTATCACTTCATTTAACATGCTGTGTTTTCTTTTTCATTACAAAGTAAAATCCTCAATCAATCCATGAATCTCTCTCTTTCTGATCAGTCTTTGAATATAAGCAGGGACAAACCAAATACCAGTGGGATACCTCCAAAAGTTTAGGCTTTTCTCGTGCAAGAGAGGAGAAGCTTCAACAAATCTGATTCCATAAAATTCTTTGTCCGTCAAAACCCATAAAACTAAAATCAAAACCATTTTGGACATCAAGCATAACATAATTTCATAGAAATCAAACACTTCAACTAAACTCATTTACGAAATCAACACAAAATAAAACTAAAAAAATCATACAAACCCTAGATGAAGTGTGAAAGATGGGGAGATAGGAGAAGGTAGAGGGAGGGAGAGAGAGAGAGAGAGAGAGAGAGAGAGAGACCTGTGATTTGCGGCAGTGGCGGTGGTGATTTTAGTCAGTCAAAGTCTCAATAGTTAACGGCATACTGAGACTAGAACATACTGTCTTCAAATTGGAGATGTGTGTAGTAGCACTACATTTGAAAGGGCAATTTGTGAGCAAATTTATTATTGCAAAACCTTGACATAATTTTCGTTACTATTTTTTTTTCACCACTTTGAGTTATTTTGGGAACATAGTTAAAAGCTATCTTCCACCTTTTAACTCATTTTTAATCACATCATCTTTCACATTTTTTACATGTTTTAATAAAAAAAATCAAAAAGCTAGCTTTTAACCATTTTCTCAAAATAGGTCAATGCAATTAAAGTTATGCGTATGTATATGATCTATATTATTTAATATATAATAAAACTAACCAAGCTAAATAGAAAATCACATAAGAAGTGAATAGTTCCAGTATAATATTTTGGTGATATATAATGACCCTTTAACATTTATAGCTATAAAATTTACAACTTAGACAAATTAGCAATATTAACCTTTTTGCAAAAGTGAAATGCAAAAAATACTACTCTTTTTAACTTTTTAACAATTTGAAAATTTGAAAATGCTAAAATCAAAGAATAAAATTTAAGATATTATTCATCAAACAGAAAATGACACTTCTAAATTAAACATTTTTATGCCAACTTAATTAGTGGTACACCTAAACAATAATGATTACCACATTAAACCTCTCCAATAGAGTTATAAGAGCAAAATTAAGAACACAATAAAGCCGCTAAGTGAACGTCAATGATCTAAGTTGTCGACTTTTCTCATACTTCTTCTGCTTGTAGCACATGCAAGCCCACTTTGTTTAGTTCATGGGCTACACATAACACCAAGCACATTAACAGGTTTACAAAGCAACTACACACAAACTATTCTAATCTATATAATAGAAGACAATGATTTTTAAAAATGTTTCTCTTACGCACTTTGTTTAGTAACTAAAGCACCAAAAGAATAATTACAACATTCAAGAATTTTAAGAAAAATAAACATAAATCAATTTCAACAGTTCTGTTAACATATAATATACATATAATATACACCCCCACTACCATGTATAGCTGTAAAAGACCTTGCATCTGTAAAGGCCACAATGTGTAGCTGTAAAAGAGAACTTTCACTTTAGCTTTAGCTTCTCTCAATGTACATTACCTGGAATCCGATTCTAATTGTCTCTCTCTCCTCTCTATAAAGAGAGGGAGCTTGCTCTCTTGTAATATACTGAAACATAATATATCAACACCAACTTTCAGTCCCTCTCTTTTTCTCTCCCTCGTTACCAACCTTACATTCTCTCTGTTCTCTTCCTCGTTACCAAACTCACATGGTATCAGAGCTTAGAAACACAATTCTGGCATCCCTCAATTTTAGGTCTTAGTTCCGTACACAGTGGACTATACCAAACAGCTCGGAATTTCCCTCCGATCCCAACGGCACCAAGCCCATCACCAAACAAGCCTTCACGCGCTCTCACGCGCCGCTTCTTCTCTCGGCGCGTCTCTGCTTCCGTTGCCACTCTCACACGCGCTGCCACGCGCCTTCCATCCTGCCCTGTCGTGCGCCGCACCTGCTACCGTGCACCAGCGTGCGCCGTTCGTCTACCGTGAGCCGCGCGTGCGCCGTTCCGCTATTGTGCACCCGCGTGCGCCATTCTGCTAACATACGCTGCCAGTCCCCTCTGCTACCGTGCGCCGCACGCCCTTCCTGCTAACGTGCGCCGCTGACCTCATTTTCCACCCTGCTGACATCATCCCTGCACAGCCCACCTTTCCTAGCTATGTTCGACCTTCTGGACTCACTGGTACACTCTGTTTTACCTAATTTTGCTCCTACAGGTCTCTCCCTATCCATTTAGCCCTACTCCACTATTATTATGGATCGTCCTGATACCTCCCATCCCATTTCCGTTATTTTGGATGGTTCCAACTATGTTCTATGGGCCCAAGCCATGTCTTCCTTCCTCAAAGGAAAGAAGCTCTGGCGAATTATCACCGGGGACATAACCCAACCAGTGAAAGACACTGCTGAAACCACGGTTCCTCCTGCTACTCCTACATATGAAGATCGCCTTGAGGAATGGGACAGTAAGAATTACCAAATCATTACCTGGTTTCGGAATACGTCTGTTACCTCTATCAGTCTTCAGTTTGGCCGCTTTCAGCTTGACTCTGTCACCACTCCTGCCAAAGACATCTGGGATTTTTTGAAAGAACGATACCAGACTACAAATGAAGACCAACTTGAGGAATGGGACAGTAAGAACTACCAGATCATTACCTGGTTTCGAAATACCTCTATTTCCTCTATCATATGTTAGTGTAAATAGCTGTCATACATTTATGTAAAGTAAAGCAAACAATTATTATTGTTTCTGCTTTCTGCTTTCGGTGCCCCTTTGGCATCTTATGTACTCTCCTCTCTATAAAAGAGAGTGAGCTTCCCTTTGTGTAATAGACTGAATATACACATTCAACATAATCAATACACTCAATTTATTCCCCCTCTCTATTAATTCATCTTACATGGTATCAAAGCCAGTTATACACTTCTGGCATTTTTCGTTTTTGGTGCTTAGTCCCGTACATAGTGGCACTACACCAAACAGCTCGGAATCACCTCATGATTCCAACGACACCACGCCCGTCACCAGAAACGCCGTCACGTGCCTCCACGCGCCACCTTTGTGTTCGGCGCGTCTCAGCTTCGGTCGCCACTCGCACACGCACCCTTGGTTACCTGCTCACGTCAGCGTCTGACGTCAGCCCTGCTCTTTCGTGCGCCGCGCCTACTGCTGTGCACCTCACGTAAACCGTTCCGCTATTGTGCACCCGCGTGCACCAATCTGCTCCCGTGCATCGAGCATGCGCCAGTCTGCTACGGTGCGCCGCACGCCCTTCCTGCTATCGTGCTCCTCACTGCAACCTGCTATTGTGCGCTGCTGACATCATTTTAGCCTCTGCTGACGTCATCTCTGCATAGCATACCTTTCTTAGTTATTTTCAACCTTCTGGACTCACTGGTACACTCTGTTTTACCTAATTTTGCTCCTACAGGTCTATTCCTATCGCTTTGCTTAGAAAGAGTAAATTGTCATACCTTCCCATATGGTGAAACAAGCTATTGCAGAGCCCCAATTCTTTCGCTAAGCTTCTCTTTCCTCTCCTATCATCCAAAAGAACATTTTAAAGATGGAAAAGCAAGCATCATATGATAAAAGAATGGATGTGCCAATCAAACTGGGTAGACCTCCCAAATTACCCAGCTTCCACAACTTAGAAGAATCCGGCAGAATATAAGGCAGTATTTAAATTTTTTTTGTTTTGTTCCTCACCGAGTTTATTTTTAGTTTGAAATGTACTATTAGAAACCATTCTCCTTCCAAAATGTAATTTTGGTATTCAATTACATAAAAGAAAACAAGAACAATACAGCTAAAAGGAAAACAATAATGCAAGGAGAAAATTGCACAAATGTAGAATATGATAGGAAACCTTGGAGGAGATGGACAAATCAGCCTTGTGTCGTTTTGGTGAAAAAGTAGTGAGACCGCTTTGATCATAGAAAGGGGCCTCCTTTTGTGTTCCATCATTGTTCTTTCCTGTATTGTCGCTTCTCACTTACATAAAAACCAGAAAAGAAATCAATATGCACATCAACAACAGAGCAGAATAGCATGCAACCAAACACAATCAATGCATAAGTTCATTTAAAAAATCCACAGAAAGAACTCCAAAGCAACTAATGATACAATTGGCTGATCATTCATCCAGTTCTGGTAGATGATAGAAATGGAGCAGAATCCTGAACAGCAAGTTTCTTAGATTTTCTGGACATAATCATTTACAAATTCCACCATTATGTTTCTCTAACAGAAGATAACTTACAACATGGTTGTTAGAATCTTACGATTCACATTGATTCGATACGAGTTTCAACCAAAACAATTTGGTTTGTATTGTTGAATCATAAGTTGAGTGAATCTTATGATTCAATTGTGATTCACTATGAATCTACGATTCAGTGCGATTATTTAAATACATGTGTATTTTTATATGTATATCCCTATATAAAATTATATATTATGATAAATAAAGTGAATATTGCTATTCATGATTCAATTCTTGTGCTAACAACCAATATTTCAATAAATTTGATGAGAATGTTCAAATAAACAAGGACAAATTGATTTAAGTAAAAGAAATAATATACATTAAATTTAAGGATTACATTTCATAGTCAAGTATTACCAAAAAGATGATCCTCCAAGCTACCCATCTGGATGGCCTGTTTTGAGCTTGAATTTGGGATTTATGTCTAGAAATCAAACCCTAGAAGTTTCGAAATCAAACTACAACAACCAAACCAATTTCATAAATCAACACGAAATTAAATTGAATCAAGCATATAAAACTCTAAAGCAACAATTAGAAAGGGGGAGACAGAGAGAGAAACTATTCCAATCAATTGTGGCGGTGGTGATTTGCGGCGGTGGTGCTGGCGACGTGCGATGGTGGGGGGCGACGGTTGGGTGGTGGCCGTCAGTGGTGAGCGCTCGTCAGGTTTGGTGATTGGTCTGCGTGTTTCTGAGACAGAACAGAGACAAAAGATCTATGTGAAACAAAGGGGAGTATGCTTCCCTCTAACAAAAATTTCCTACCTTTAGTGACTAAATTACAATTTGTCGGCAAATATAACTCACGACAAAATCTGCTGTACCTGCTTGTGTAATTTGGCTACTAAATATTGTTTTTGTGGGCAAAAACTAACTATACAAGGACTTAATTTTTTTAGTCACCGATGGTTTATATTTCCCGACTAAATTCTTTGGTGAGCAAAGAGTATGGCAACTAAAAATTTTTTGGTCAGCAAAAGGATGCATACGCCGACTAAAACTATAATTAGTAGCCTAAAATATAAACAAATGCTAGTCACCTATTCACATTATTTTTCTTGACCAATTTTTTTTTTTTTTTTCAATTGCCAATAACG